TGGTTTAGTCCTGGTTTAATCCTGTTTAGTCCTGGTTTAGTCCTGGTTTAATCCTGTTTAGTCCTGGTTTAGTTCTGGTTCAGTTCTGGTTTAGTCCTGGTTTAATCCTGTTTAGTCCTGGTTTAGTCCTGGTTTAGTTCTGGTTCAGTTCTGGTTTAGTCCTGGTTTAATCCTGTTTAGTCCTGGTTTAATCCTGGTTTAGTTCTGGTTCAGTTCTGGTTTAGTCCTGGTTTAATCCTGTTTAGTCCTGGTTTAATCCTGGTTTAGTTCTGGTTCAGTTCTGGTTTAGTCCTGGTTTAATCCTGGTTTAATCCTGTTTAGTCCTGGTTTAGTTCTGGTTCAGTTCTGGTTTAGTCCTGGTTTAGTCCTGGTTTAGTCTGGTTTAGTCCTGTTTAGTTCTTGGTTTAATCCTGGTTTAGTTCTGTTTAATCCTGGTTTAGTCCTGGTTTAGTCCTGGTTCAGTTCTGGTTCAGTTCCTGGTTTAGTCCTGGTTTAGTCCTGGTTTAATCCTGTTTAGTCCTGGTTTAGTCCTGGTTTAGTCCTGGTTTAGTCCTGGTTTAGTCCTGGTTTAGTCCTGGTTCAGTTCTGGTTCAGTTCTGGTTCAGTTCTGGTGTGAAAGTTCTTTGTTTTTCAGAGTTATCAAGAGGCCGTCCAGATAAACCCAGACCAGTCCCAGGCCTGGATGAACATGGGAGGAATCAAACATATAAAGGTCTGCCCCTGTCTGCCCCTGTCTGCCCTGTCTGCTGTCTGCTGTCTGCTCCTGTCTGCCCCTGTCTGCTCCTGTCTGCCTCTGCTCCCTGTCTGCCCTGTCTGCTGCTGCTGCCCCTGTCTGCTCCTGTCTGACCTGTCTGGTCTGCCCTGTCTGTTCTGTCAGTCTGCCCCTGTCAGACTACGCTGCGGCTCGGACTTTCTACGAGAAGGCGCTGAGTTTGAGTCCCGGCTCCAAACTGCTGAAGGAAAATCTGCAGAAGCTCGATCGTCTGGAGCGAAGATCCAAAGGCTGAACCCCAAAGAGACTCGACATCTTCACATTTATCCCTGAGGGTGTGACGCTAACCGGAGGCACTGCTCTGTCTGAAGCTTCTCAAATTAAACTTTAATCTGAGTTTTATTTGAGCTCGATCGGACCAGAGAAGAATCAGTGTGAAGGTTAAAGGTTTCAGATCTTTACCTTCTCAGAGTGATGTGTGGGCCTTGGATTTGTCGATGAAGTGGTTTTTAGTTTGATTCGGTGTTTTTTTTTTTTAACAAATTGCAGCGTATTTCTGCCTCCCACGTGACGACGAACTAAAGCTGCTACAACGATGACGCGGCAGATTCACCTACGACACGTTTGACGAAGCAGAAAACGCTTCGCCTCCACCGCCTCCACCACTCACACACCGTCCTGCGTCTGCACGTACACGTCTGCTCTTCTGCCTTATTTACCTTTATTTTTCACTTCAAACACACTTTTTGTAACCATGTCCTCGTGTATTTGGCTGCGATGGAAAGTCCAGATTATTTGTCATGTCGACAGAAGAGTCCAGGCGTGTGAAGTGTCTGGAGTTTATTTCTGGGAACACAGACAAAAAGGTCCCAAGAATATTTTTATTTGCGGGCGACACTTCACTGAAGAAGCTTGGAGAACGACGGGTGTTTTAAAACTGGACTGACAACGAAGCAGAAGCGACACTTTGGAAAAGGACGATGTTCCCACGAGACCAGGGTCCAGTGATGATCCTACATCTGTAAGTTTACCACAGTAAACCTCTGAAGAACTAAAAACAAACTGCAGCGTTTATTTTTGAAGATTATCCCACAATTCCTTTTTGGTTCTTCCTGTGGATCAATCCTGCCCATCACCTTCACCTTTCACTATTTTTCAGTTCCGTTGGGAAGAGAAACAGTTTGAACGGAGGTTTGAGTCACACACATCTGATTCACTTTTGCATTTATGGAGTTCACAAACACATTTCTCGAGTCGTTTTCCGCTGTTAGAACAAACAACAACCACACAATTAACGATGTCCGAATCCCAAAACTAAAATATGACAATATCAGAACCAGAAACAAAAGTGATATGGTTCAAAAGACTTGAAAAGATCGACTTTGTCAATAGACCAGGGTGGGCAAACTACGGCCCTTTAAACCTTTTAATCCGGCCGCCGAACTGGAATAAATTACAATAATAAACCTTGTTGATGTTTTATTTGTCATGCATTTCCGGTGTTTCCCAGTAGATGGCGCAGTATATATACATAGAGGTGCGGAGTGTTATGTTGGCCGCAATGCTTTATGGGAAAGTGTTGTACTCTTCGACTTTATGTTGTAATTATCAATGCAATAAACATCATAGTTTGGTTTGTGCGACGACCAGAAATCCGAAATTCTTGATAAATGAATTCTGTCCAAAACACATTTTTTCCAGTTATTTTAAACATGTCAAAATAAATTTCTGTGAGAGGAAACATGAATTAGTTTTAGCCCAGTGTGCATTACATTACATTACGGTTGCTATGGTGACGGGAACGGTGGAATTCCCGGGTGTGACGTCAGGATTTCCAAACGTGAAGTAAAATTTTAAAACCTAAAAAAAAAAAAAAAAACACCAAACTGGGAAAGAAACCGTTTTAGCTCGACCCGTCACAGGCGCTTTAAAGGTGCACTGTGTAACTTTTCAGGTCGGGGGGCTCCGTCACCTGCTCGTTTCCGTGGAGACGTCGATGCTCTGTCTGGAATGTTCCGCAGTGTGACTTTAAACAGCTCCACTTTACAGTTATTCAATCAGCCCTAGTTTAGTCCCGGTTTAGACCTGATTTTGTCCCGGTTTAGTCCCGCTCTAGTCCCGGTCCAGTCCCGCTTTAGTCCCGGTCCAGTCCCGGTCCAGTCCCGCTTTAGTCCCGGTCCAGTCCCGGTCCAGTCCCGCTTTAGTCCCGGTCCAGTCCCGCTTTAGTCCCGGTCCAGTCCCGCTTTAGTCCCGGTCCAGTCCCGGTCCAGTCCCGCTTTAGTCCCGGTCCAGTCCCGCTTTAGTCCCGGTCCAGTCCCGCTTTAGTCCCGGTCCAGTCCCGGTCCAGTCCCGCTTTAGTCCCGGTCCAGTCCCGCTTTAGTCCCGGTCCAGTCCCGCTTTAGTCCCGGTCCAGTCCCGGTCCAGTCCCGGTCCAGTCCCGCTTTAGTCCCGCTTTAGTCCCGGTCCAGTCCCGCTTTAGTCCCGGTCCAGTCCCGCTTTAGTCCCGGTCCAGTCCCGCTTTAGTCCCGCTTTAGTTCTTCAGTCACAGGTGCAGGTTTTAAAGCTCAAAAATACTCAGAAAAACCGACGTTGTGACTGTGAGCGCCTCTCCACAGATCTGACCTGGAACTCGATCTGGTTTGGTCTCCGTGGAGATTGAAAGCTTTAAAGCCACACTGCGGAACATTCCAGACCAAGATCTCAGTGTAGAAACAGGAAAATAATGGAAGAACATTGTAATAAAAGAATCATTAAAACCAGTAAAAATCGGACATGATGTAAAGTCTTTCGTCGACACCAGGGGGCGACTCTGCGTGAGCGACTCCGGATCACCACCTGATGATGTCACAGGGTGGGAGGGGAAATGTGTTACTCTTGGTGAAAATCCAACTACTCACGTGTAACTCTGATCTGACAGACGCAGATATTTTAAATGAAGCCGTTTGAAATTGTTCATGTTTTTAATTTGTGCGACTTTAATTTTATGTTTTTCAGAATATTTATTACAGAAATTTAACTTGTACAAAGTGTAAATATGTTTTTACTCCGAACGACGACGACGACGCAGCGAAACAAACGAGTGAGAGTGAAATAAAGAATAAAGTCATTTATTTAAACATGAGTCTGTGTCCGGCCTGTTTAGACCTGGTTTAAGACCTGGTTTAGTCCTGGTTCAGTCCTGGTTTAGACCTGGTTCAGTCTTGGTTCAATCCTGGTTTAGTCCTGGTTCAGTCCTGGTTTAGACCTAATTTAGTCCTAGTTTAGTCCTGGTTTAGTCCTGGTTCAGTTCTGGTTTAATCTTGATTTATTTTGTTAATCTAAAAGTTTTATATTCCACAATTTTCTGATCTGTTTTGCTGTTTCTTCCTCAAAAACAGGTGAGTCTGGGCAGGTGGATCTAGGCAGGGACCGACAGGGTCCGACAGGGTCCGACAGGTGCGTGTGTTCAGGGTCCGACAGGTGTGTGACAGGTGTGTGACAGGTGTGTGTGTTCAGGGTGTGTGACAGGTGTGTGACAGGTGTGTGACAGGTGTGTGTGTTCAGGGTGTGACAGGTGTGTGACAGGTGTGTGACAGGTGTGTGTGTTCAGGGTGTGACAGGTGTGTGACAGGTGTGTGACAGGTGTGTGACAGGTGTGTGTGTTCAGGGTGTGTGACAGGTGTGTGACAGGTGTGTGTCAGGGTGTGACAGGTGTGTGACAGGTGTGTGTGTTCAGGGTGTGACAGGTGTGTGTGTGACAGGTGTGTGTGTTCAGGGTGTGACAGGTGTGTGACAGGTGTGTGTTCAGGGTGTGTGACAGGTGTGTGACAGGTGTGTGACAGGTGTGTGTGTTCAGGGTGTGACAGGTGTGTGACAGGTGTGTGACAGGTGTGTGTGTGTGACAGGTGTGTGACAGGTGTGTGTGTTCAGGGTGTGACAGGTGTGTGACAGGTGTGTGTGTTCAGGGTGTGACAGGTGTGTGACAGGTGTGTGTGTTCAGGGTGTGTGACAGGTGTGTGACAGGTGTGTCAGGTGTGTGTTCAGGGTGTGTGACAGGTGTGTGACAGGTGTGTGTGTTCACAGGTGTGTGACAGGTGTGTGTGTTCAGGGTGTGTGACAGGTGTGTGTGTTCAGGTGTGTGACAGGTGTGTGTGTCAGTGTGTGACAGGTGTGTGACAGGTGTGTGTGTTCAGGGTGTGTGACAGGTGTGTGTGTTCAGGGTGTGTGACAGGTGTGTGTGTTCAGGGTGTGTGACAGGTGTGTGACAGGTGTGTGACAGGTGTGTGTGTTCAGGGTGTGTGACAGGTGTGTGTGTTCAGGGTGTGTGACAGGTGTGTGTGTTCAGGGTGTGTGACAGGTGTGTGACAGGTGTGTGTGTGTGACAGGTGTGTGACAGGTGTGTGTGTTCAGGGTGTGTGACAGGTGTGTGACAGGTGTGTGTGTTCAGGGTGTGTGACAGGTGTGTGTGACAGGTGTGTGTGTTCAGGGTGTGACAGGTGTGTGTGTTCAGGGTGTGTGACAGGTGTGTGTGTTCAGGGTGTGTGACAGGTGTGTGTGTTCAGGGTGTGTGACAGGTGTGTGACAGGTGTGTGTGTTCAGGGTGTGACAGGTGTGTGTGACAGGTGTGTGTGTTCAGGGTGTGACAGGTGTGTGTGACAGGTGTGTGTGTGTTCAGGGTGTGACAGGTGTGTGACAGGTGCGTGACAGGTGTGTGACAGGTGTGTGACAGGTGCGTTCAGGGCCGTGCTGCTCGCAGGTGCAGGAGGATGGACACGTCTTGTGGAGATAAACAGAAAACTCCGAGCTCGTTCAGCGCCGCCTGAGGCGACGGTTCGAGTCCCGCCGGGCCCCGGGCTCCAGGGTCCTGGTTCAGATCCCGGTTCAGGTCCGAGTCCTGGAGCAAGTCCTGGAGCAGGAGAGCCGAGCCCAGACTGAGAGTGAGGACGATACACGCCTCCTTCACACTGACAAACAAACAAACAAACAAAACTTTTACTCGAGTAACATTAACCCAGAATCTCAGAACTTCAGAACCTCACTGACTGTTTGAAGAAGTTCTCGGGGCGTTTGCAGTAGTGTCCAAACAGCGGGAACAGGTTTCTGCTCATGTCAAACTGAAGCTGAGCAGCTCCCCCTTCAGAGAAGTGATTGGCCAGAATCACCTGAAACACAAGACCTGATTTAGACCTGGTTTAGTCCTGGTTTAGTCCTGGTTTAGTCCTAGTTTAGTCCTGGTTTAGTCCTAGTTTAGTCCTAGTTTAGTCCCAGTTTAGACCCAGTTTATATCCAGTTTAGACCCAGTTCAGACCCGGTTTAGTCCTAATTTAGGCCTGCTTTAGTTGTGCTTGAGTCCTGGTCCAGTCCTGGTTCAGTTTTTGATTTAGTCCTGGTTTAGTCCTTGTCCAGTCTTGGTCCAGTCCCGGTCCAGTCCCAGTCTAGTCCTGGTTTAGTCTCTAGTTTAGTCCTGGTCCAGTCCCTGGTCCAGTCTCGATCCAGTCCCTGGTCCAGTCCCAGTCCAGTCCCGGTCTAGTCCAGATCCAGTCCCGGTTCACCTCCTGGTAGATGAAGGCGTCCAGTCTCTCGGCGAGTCCCTGCCAGGTGATCTGGAACAGGGGCAGACTGAGCGCCGTGTGCAGCTGCAGCAGACGGTCCCTGACGCAGAGCATCATGGGACACGCGGCGGTGGACAGGGACATGACGGTCTGGTCCTGAGGAGACGCCAGGGACAACCACCTGAGGGCGCCAAAACAGAACGTCAAAACCAGAACGTCCAAACCAGAAGGTCCAAAACCAGAACGTCAAAACCATCCATCCATTTTCGTCCGCTTATCCGGGGCCGGGTCGCGGGGGCAGCAGCCCAAGCAGGGACTCCCAGACTTCCTTCACCCCAGACACGTCCTCCAGCTCCTCCAGGGGGACCCTGAGGTGTTCCCAGGCCAGTCCAGAGACATAGTCCCTCCAGTGTGTCCTGGGTCTTCCCCGGGGCCTCCTCCCGGCGGGACATGAACACCTCCTGAGGGACACGTCCAGGAGACATCAGAACAGATGCCCGAGCCTCAACTGGCTCCTCTCGACGTGGAGGAGCAGCGGCTCTACTCCGAGCTCCTCCCGTGTGACTGAGCTCCTCACTCTGTCTCTAAGGGAGACGCCCAGACACCCTGCGGAGGAAACTCATTTCGAGCACTTGTATCCGCGATCTCGTCCTTTCGGTCACTACCCAGAGCTCATGACCAGAGGTGAGAGTAGGAACGAAGACTGACCGGTAAATCAAGAGCTTCACCTTTAGACTCAGGTCCTCTTCACCACAACGATACAGCGACCGCATCACTGATCCACCTGTCAATCTCACGCTCCATCCTCCCCTCACTCATGAACAAGACCCCGAGATACTTGAACTCCTCCACTTGAGGCAAAGACTCCCCACCCACCTGGAGAGGGCAAGACACCTAAGTCCGAGGCCATGGTTCTCGACCGGAAAAAGAAGAACTGATCTTCATCCCAGACACTTCACACTCGGGTCAAACCGCCCCAGTGCACATTGCAGGTCCTGGTTCGATGAAGCCAACAGAACATCATCTGCAAACAGCAGAGATGATCCTGTGGTCCCAAAACCGGCCCCTCCGGCCCCTGACTGCACCTAGAAACTCTGTCCATAAACACAATGAACAGAACCGGTGACAGGTGCAGCCCTGGCGGAGTCCAACATGCACCGGGAACAGGTCTGACTTACTGCCGGCAACGAACACAGCTCCTGCTCCGGTCATACAGGGACCGGACCCCATACTCCCAGAGCGCCCCCCACAGGACACCACGAGGGACACGGTCAAAACCAGAACGTCCAAACCAAAATGACATGTCAGTGTGTGAGACGAGTCTGAGGTTTAAACTCTGACACGGCACAAGACACGACACGTTTACATCCAGTTTACTTTTAGTGTTTTTAAAAATGTTATTTTCACCCAAAACAAGAGAGTCACTTTTGCTCTCCACGCTAAGTCACTCCCCCTTCAGAGCCGTTACACTGATCGTTCTGTCACTGGTTTAGTTCTGGTCCAGTCCTGGCTCAGGTCCTGGCTCAGGTCCTGGCTCAGGTCCTGGCTCAGGTCCTGCTGTAGTCCTGGTTGTGGGACTTTCACACCTGTAAACAAACCAAACCTGGTCTGCTTGTCGTTTCATCAGTGTTGATGTTCTGGTAGGAAGCGTGTCGTTGTTTCTCGCTCTGATCTTCGTTCGTCACGTTCTCTGGACTCGACTGTTTGATAATGAGTGGCGGCTGCGTCTGGAGAACATGACCTCTCTGGTGCTGGTGGGTTGAGTCTGGTGCGGCACCGGGGACCCGTGGGCTCTGCGGTGGTTCTGTTCATCTGAGCCTGAGTGTGGTGGACCTGTGCTTCCTGCTCCTGTCTGTGCCCGTACACACAAACATCTGCTCTCTGCCCGAGTGTTCGGTCATTTCTGTGCACGTTCGGACATTACGTCTTCACCGTGTGCACACTGGTCACACCGACTTGTCAAAGCTTGATCCCGTCAGATCTCAGGAGCTCAGCAGGTCTGGGTCTGGACTTGGATGGAGACACTGGGAAAATCAGGAGCCACAGGGGGACGTCAGTCGCAAAAAAATAAATAAATAAGAATAAATAATACTAGTGAGCATCTTCACGCTGACGTCTGTGGATCGCTACGTGATTGTGGTCTGCTCCAAAAAGTCTCATCCACAGTCGTCAGAACGTGCTGCTCGGTCTGGTGTTCATCTGGAGCCTCGAACTCGTCCTGTTGGTGCCCGTGGTACAGCACCAGGTCCTCACGGGGCCCCAACAGCACCTTCAGCTGGGAGCACTGGCCCGGGCCGTCCTGCTCCGTCCTGCTCCGTCCTGCTGCTCATCAGCTGCTGTTAGGCAGAGGTCCATGCAGTCTCACGTGTCTCTGGTTTGGACCCAAGTTGGTGTCTCATCAGAGGGACCGCACCAGAATGAAACGAAAACCAACGAAAACCAGCGAAAACCAACAAAAACTAACCAAAACCAGCCCAACTAAAGCTGCGTTCAGACTGCACCTGAAGTGACTCAAATCTGATTTTTTGTCTCTATGTTCCTGTATCTGATCTTTTAATGACAGTCTGAACCACACAGATCCAATTTTTTTTCAAATGTGACCCAGGACACTTGGATATGTGCTCCTGAAACTGACACATATCTGATCTTTTGACATGTGACTTCAGTCTGAACAGCCAAAGTGCATTCATCCACCTACACGTCATCAACAAGACACAAACGTCACTATTCTGCGCTGAAGCAGGCGGAAACCGGAACTTTAAAATCTCCAGGTGCTCGATGCTGCGTCCATGTTTGGACAACTTGTGTAAACACAGAGACGCTCACTGCGGTTGACGTCGTCGTGTCTCCAGTGTCACATGTGGGACACTTTTGGGTCGTTTAATGTTCACACTGGAGTCACACACAAGTCACATTTAACTGGAAATGTGAACGACCTCGAAAAAACATCGGATTTCACAAAAAAATCGGAATTGAGCGTTAAGCCCTGCAGTCTGAACGTGGACTAAGAGCTTCTGGATCTAGTGGAACGTTTGGTGCTGTTGCTGTGAAAAAACACTAGTCTTGGTTCAGGTCCTGGCTCAAGTTCTGGCTCAAGTTCTGGCTCAAGTTCTGGCTCAAGTTCTGGCTCAAGTTCTGGCTCAAGTTCTGGCTCAAGTTCTGGCTCAAGTCCTGGCTCAAGTTCTGGCTCAAGTTCTGGCTCAAGTTCTGGCTCAAGTTCTGGCTCAAGTTCTGGTTCAAGTTCTGTTTCAGGTCCTAGTTCTGGTTCAGTTCAGTCCTGGTCAGTCCTGGTCCTGGTCCTGGTCCTCACCGGTCGTGGCAGTACGGTCGGGCCTTGTCGGACACTTCTCTCATGATGGTGTCGAGGAGGCGTGAGGTCATATCCGCCCTGAGTCGGTCCAAAAGTCCCAGAAGCCCCTGGAACAGCGACGACTCCAGCGACGCCAAGCGGCCGAGCTCCGTGACGCCCAGAGAGCCCACGATGCCCTCGTCGCCCAACGCCACGGCCGCCTGCTGCAGCTGCAGGAAGAACTGAACAAACACCAGAGATTCATCAAAACTGATCCAGAGTTTGAACAGAGACGATCAGAAGAGCAAATCCAGGAGGAGGAGCTGGATCGATTCAGACGATATCGGCTCGATACTTTATTTGATGTAATAAAACGGTTTAAGACAAATGTTGGTCCAGAATGTTCCACAGTGTTTGAGTTTTTATTCAGACAAATGTTTGGAACGTGGCAAAGGAGAAATTCAGTTCGTCAACTGGATGAGAGCGACGGGACTTACAAATCTGTAAACTGTGACACAACCGGGTCCAGTTGTTTGGTGTCAATAAAATCGTGAAAAGAGTAAAAATCTGTGTGTCGTTCGTTTATTCATTTTTCAAAATAAAACCAAAAATAAGAAAACGAAAAAACAACGATTTTCTTCATTATTTGTCTCCAAAACCAAAATGAAAAAACAGATAATGATTCGTTTTTTTTTCAGTTTTTGATTTTGTGTTTAAATGAAAAATGGAAAAAACGGATAATGGACTGAAACCAGGACCAGACCAGGACTGAAACCAGGACTGAACCAGGACCAGACCAGGACTGAAACCAGGACTGAGACCAGGACCAGACTGGACTGAAACCAGGACTGAACCAGGACCGGACAGGGACTGAACCAGGACTGAACCAGGTCCCGGTCTCAGTCCTGGTCTGGTCCCAGGCCCATCCCAACACTCAGTCCTGGTTTAGTCCTGGTTCAGTCCTGGTTTAGTCCTGGTTCAGTCCTGGTTTAGTCCTGGTTTAGTCCTGGTTTAGTCCGGTGTCACAGTTTAAGTCACGTAAACAGGAAACGGTCGTTATCCGTTTTTTTTTCCATTATCCATTTAAACACAAAATCAAAAACTGAAAAAACAAATCATCTGTTTTTTTTTTCATTTTGGTTTTGGAGACAAATAATGAAGAAAACTGTTGTTTTTTCATCATGAATGAATGAAACGAACAAACGACACACAGATTCGTTGACACACTGAATTTCTCCTTTGTCGTGGATTCTACCTGAATCTTTGGAACAAAACTGGATGGATTTTGCGGTCGGATAAACTGTGTTTTTAATGGAAATAAAATAGATTTTTCAGTCGGTGCGTCTCTATTCTTGAGCAGAAATGTTTCCTCGTTTGCACTGAGGTGGTGAAATCCCTCAGTCGTTCTATTTTAGGATCCACAACAAAAGAGAAAAGGGTCATTCCTGCGCTATTTCATAACATTTCCAGAAAATCTCACACATCATGTTTTTTATCACTAAAACTTCACAGGTTAGTCCATGAGAGGAAGGGACTATTTGGTAATTTTTAAACAATTTTTGGAGATCGAAGTGTGTGGGCCATTTGTTGAAATGGCGCGGAGTGACCCAAATTCAGATTCATCCAAGCTGCTTCTTGAGTTTTGGCCTTTTTCAATTTCTCTTTTGCTACAGATTCGACCTGAATCAGGATATCAGCTATCGGCCGATATGCTTGCTGATATGGGCCGATATTTCACGTGGGCATGTTATACCTCGTTATAAAGCTTAGACTCTCTACATTCTGTTCATTTAATCCAATTATTGGATTAAAAGGACATTTATTAGTGCAGATTTGTGATGTGAGGAGGAGCCTGTGTGAGCGGTGAGTGTTGGAAATACATCGACTCTGAAGCTAGTTTTGGTCATTTGTTATGGGTTAGCTGCTGTAGCTCCCGCACATAAACAGACTGTTTTCTATTGGTCTGTTCTAAAGTGATTATATTGGCCGTATATTTGCTCCTGGACCTGCACTGATGTAAATGAGCTGTGAACAGACGTGTGAATTATGACATTTGTGCATATAATTAATTACCGCGGCGCGCACGTATTTACGGCTAAAGGCTAATAGCGCTACTTTCTTTACTAGTTATGGGTCCGTCGCGAACGAAATTACTCTTAGAACCGGCTCTTTGAAGGGAACGACGGGAGCCTGATCCTTATTGGGAGCCGTGTTTTCTCTTTCTCTCACTTTTTTTCTCTTCACGCCGCGTGCAGATTCGTGGTTTGACAGCGGCAGCGGCTAAAAACGAAACTTTGAGAAATGTGCGTGTACGTAGGATAAAAAAAAATATAATAAAAAAAAAAAAAGAGCATATTTGACTGTAGTTTAGCATAAAATAAATAAGTCCCGGTTTAGTCCTTTTTCAGTCCTGGTTTAGACCTGGTTCAGTCCTGATTCAGTCCTGCTTTAGACGTGCTTTAGTCCTGCTTGCAACAAAACAATCTGAAGAGCCACTTGGGAGCCAAAAGAACCAGCAGCTTTTAGTGAGCCGAGCCAAAAGAGCCGGTTCTCTAAAAAGAACTGAAATCCCCATCACTAGTGTCTAGAATGTGATGCAAAAATGCCATTAGTCCAACCTACTGTCTGTAAATATGATGTAAAGAGGCAGAAGAACAATAAATGTTGCCTAAATAAACCCAATTTAAAATCCACCAGAGCCAAACCTGAACATGGTTTAAACATCACTCTCCACTCTGAACACGGTTTAAACTAGAGCCCGACCGATATGGATTTTGCTGTGGCCGATATGAAACCAATATAATGAAAGTTGGAGCTGCCGATAGCCGATATAATCGCCGATATATTTAGTGATGTAAAAATTCACAGTAAATGTTGAATTGTTAAAAAAACTTAGGTTTGGCTCTGGTGGATTTTAAATTGGGTTTATTTAGGCAACATTTATTGTTATTCTGCCTCTTTACATCATATTTACAGACAGTAGGTTGGCTTAATGGCATTTTTGCATCACATTCTAGACACTAGTGATGGTGTGTTCAGGGACAGTACGGACACACACAGACAAATGACTCCGTAGATAAATACTGATGTGGAGCCACATATTAGGACATTTATCTGTCTGTAAATTGGATTAAATAAACAGAATGTAGAGAGTCTAAGCTTTATAACAGGTATAACATGCCCACGTGAAATATCGGCCCCTATCAGCAAGTATATCGGCCGATAGCTGATATGCCTAAAGTTGCCGATATATCGGTCGGGCTCTAGTTTAAACCGTGTTCAGAGTGGAGAGTGATGTTTAAACCGTGTCAGAGTGGAGAGTGATGTTTAAGCCTGTCAGTGGAGAGTGATGTTAAACGTGTTCAGAGTGGAGAGTGATGTTTAAACCGTGTTCAGAGTGGAGAGTGATGTTTAAAACCGTGTTCAGAGTGGAGAGAGTGATGTTTAAGCCGTGTTCAGAGTGGAGAGTGATGTTTAAGCCGTGGTTCAGAGTGGAGATGATGTTTTAAACCGTGTCCAGAGTGGAGAGTGGAGAGTGATGTTTAAACGTGTCCAGAGTGGAGAGTGGAGAGTGATGTTTAAACCGTGTCCAGAGTGGAGAGTGATGTTTAAACCGTGTCCAGAGTGGAGAGTGATGTTTAAACCGTGTTCAGAGTGGAGAGTGATGTTTAAACCGTGTTCAGAGTGGAGAGTGATGTTTAAACCGTGTCCAGAGTGGAGAGTGATGTTTAAACCGTGTTCAGAGTGGAGAGTGATGTTTAAACCGTGTTCGAGAGTGGAGAGTGATGTTTAAACCGTGTCCGGAGTGGAGAGTGATGTTTAAACCGTGTTCGGAGTGGAGAGTGATGTTTAAACCGTGTCCAGAGTGGAGAGTGATGTTTAAGCCGTGTCCAGTGGAGAGTGATGTTTAACCGTGTCCGGAGTGGAGAGTGATGTTAAACCGTGTCCAGAGTGGAGAGTGATGTTTAAACCGTGTCCGGAGTGGAGAGTGATGTTTAAACCGTGTCCAGAGTGGAGAGTGATGTTTTAAACCGTGTCCGAGTGGAGAGTGATGTTTAAGCCGTGTCCAGAGTGGAGAGTGATGTTTAAACCGTGTTCAGAGTGGAGAGTGATGTTAAACCGTGTCCAGAGTGAGACCGTGTCAGAGTGGAGAGTGACGTTTAAGCCGTGTTCAGAGTGGAGAGTGACGTTTAAGCCGTGTTCAGAGTGGAGAGTGACGTTTAACCCGTGTTCAGAGTGGAGAGTGACGTTTAAGTTCCAGAGTGAGAGTGAGTTTAACCCGTGCCAGAGTGGAGAGTGACGTTTAAGCGTTGGAGAGTGATGTTTAAGCCGTGTTCAGAGTGGAGAGTGATGTTTAAAGCCGTGTCCAGAGTGGAGAGTGATGTTTAAGCCGTGTTCAGAGTGGAGAGTGATGTTTAAGCCGTGTTCAGAGTGGAGAGTGATGTTTAAGCCGTGTTCAGAGTGGAGAGTGATGTTTAAGCCGTGTCCAGAGTGGAGAGTGATGTTTAAGCCGTGTTCCAGAGTGGAGAGTGATGTTTAAGCCGTGTTCAGAGTGGAGAGTGACGTTTAAGCCGTGTCCAGAGTGGAGAGTGGAGAGTGATGTTTAAGCCGTGTTCAGAGTGGAGAGTGATGTTTAAACCGTGTGTCCAGAGTGGAGAGTGATGTTTAAGCCGTGTCCAGAGTGGAGAGTGGAGAGTGATGTTTAAGCCGTGTTCAGAGTGGAGAGTGATGTTTAAACCGTGTTCAGAGTGGAGAGTGATGTTTAAGCCGTGTTCAGAGTGAGAGTGGAGAGTGATGTTTAAACCGTGTCAGAGTGGAGAGTGATGTTTAAACCGTGTTCAGAGTGGAGAGTGATGTTTAAGCCGTGTTCAGAGTGGAGAGTGATGTTTAAGCCGTGTTCAGAGTGGAGAGTGACGTTTAAGCCGTGTTCAGAGTGGAGAGTGATGTTTAAGCCGTGTTCAGAGTGGAGAGTGACGTTTAAGCCGTGTCCAGAGTGGAGAGTGATGTTTTAAGCCGTGTCAGAGTGGAGAGTGACGTTTAAGCCGTGCTCAGAGTGGAGAGTGACGTTTAAGCCGTGTTCAGAGTGGAGAGTGACGTTTAAACCGTGTTCAGAGTGGAGAGTGATGTTTAAGCCGTGTCCAGAGTGGAGAGTGGAGAGTGATGTTTAAGCCGTGTTCAGAGTGGAGAGTGATGTTTAAACCGTGTCCAGAGTGGAGAGTGATGTTTAAGCCGTGTTCAGAGTGGAGAGTGATGTTTAAACCGTGTTCAGAGTGGAGAGTGATGTTTAAGCCGTGTCCAGAGTGGAGAGTGATGTTTAAACCGTGTTCAGAGTGGAGAGTGATGTTTAAGCCGTGTTCAGAGTGGAGAGTGATGTTTAAACCGTGTTCAGAGTGGAGAGTGATGTTTAAACCGTGTCCAGAGTGGAGAGTGATGTTTAAACCGTGTTCAGAGTGGAGAGTGATGTTTAAGCCGTGTTCAGAGTGGAGAGTGATGTTTAAGCCGTGTTCAGAGTGGAGAGTGGAGAGTCGTACCACGTTGTCCTCCCAGTCGGACAGGATGGTGGAGATGTAGTTGACGGCGTTGAGGATGGCGCAGTATCGTTCCCCCAGCGGCGCCCGAGACTCCTCCTTCATCACCTGCAGAACACAACAACAGAAGTGTGAGCACCAGCGGGTCCTGGACTGTCCCGGGTTCATCATGGTTCATGTAAACACAGAGTCCTGAAAAGTGCCACAGACGAGTCGAGTCACACGAGTCCAAAACACAAACACTTTTCACTCTTTTCATCACAACAGAAGCGAAAATAAATAAAGTGAAATGATGTTGAATAAAGAGAAAACCTGCACACGTCTGAAAACATGAACCACAGAACACACAACACACACACAGAACACAGAACACACACACACACACACACACACACACACACACACACACACAACACACACACAAGAACACACACACACAACACACACACACACACACACACACACAGAACACACACACACACACACACACACACAGACACACACACACACACACACACACACAGAACACACACACACACACACACACAGAACACACACACACACACACACACAGAACACACACACACAGAACACACACACACACACACACACAACACAGACACACACACACACACACACAGAACACACACACACACACACAGAACACACACAGAACACACAGAACACACACACACACACACACACACACACACACAACACAACACACACCACACAGACACACACACACACAACACACACACACAGAACACACACACACACACACACACAACACACACAGAACACACACACACACACACACACACACACACACACACACACACAGAAACACACACACACACACACACACACACACACAGAACACACACACACAGAACACACACACACAGAACACACACACACACACACACACACACACACACACACACAGACACACACACACACACACACACACACACACACACACAAGAACACACACACACAGAACACACACACACACACACACACACACACACACAGAACACACACACACACACACACAGAACACACACACACACACACAGACACACACACACACACACACAGAACACACACACACACACACACAACACACACAGAACACACACAACACACACACAGAAACACACACACACACACACAGAACACACACACAGAACACACACACACACACAGACACACACACACACACACACACACACACACACACACACACACACACACACACACAACACACACACACACAGAACACACACACACACAGAACACACAGACACACACACACACAGAACACACACACACACACACAGAAACACACACAGAACACACACACACACACACAGAACACACACAACACACACACACACAACACACAGAACACACACACACAACACAGAACACACACACACACACACACACAGACACACACAGAACACACACACACACACAACACACACACACAGAACACACACACACACACACACACACACACACACACAGAACACACACACACACACACACAGAACACACACACACACAGAACACACACACACACACACACACACAGAACACACAGAACACACACACAGAACACACACACACACACACACACACACACACACACACACACACACACAGAACACACACACACACACACGAACACACACACACACAGAACACACACACACACACACACACACACACAGAACACACACACACACACACAGACACACACACACACACACACACACACACAGAACACAAACACACACAGAACACACACACACACACAGACACACACACACACACACAGAACACACACACACAACACACAGAACACACACACAGAACACACACAACAGAACACACACACACACACACACACACACACACACAGAACACACACAGAACACACACACAACACACACACACACAACACACACACACAGAACACACACACACACACACACACACAGAACACACACACACACACACAGAACACACACACACACACACGACACACACACACACACACACAGAAACACACACACACACACAACACACACACACACACAGAACACACACACACACCGAACAACACACACAGAACACACACACACAGAACACACACACACACACAGAACACACACACACACACACACACACAACACACACACACACACACACAGAACACACACACACACACAGAAACACACACACACACACACACACAGAACACACACACACACACACAGAACACACACACACACACACAGAACACACACACACACACACACACACACACACACACACACACACACACACAGAACACACACACACACACACAGAAACACACACAGAACACACACACACAGAACACACACAACACAGAACACACACACACACACACAACACAAACACACACACACAGAACACAAACAGAACACACACACACAGAACACACACACACACACACAGAACACACAACACACACACACACACACACACACACACACACAGAACACACACACACACACACACACAGAACACACACACACACACACACAGAACACACACACACAGAACACACACACACACAGAACACAAACACACACACACACAGAACACACACACACACACACACACAGAACACACACACACACACAGAACACACACACACACACACACACACACACACACACACACACACACAGAACACACACACACACACAGAACACACACACACACACACACAGAACACAAACACACACACAACACACAGAACACAGACACACACACACACACAGAACACACACACACACACACACACACACAGAACACACACACACACACAGAACACACACACACAGAACACAACACACACACACACACACACACACACACACACAGAACACACACACACACACAGACACACACACACACACAGAACACACACACACAGAACACACACACACAGAACACACACACACACACACACACACACACACACACACACACACACAGAACACACACATCACCCCTCTGTCACAGAGAGAACACTCATATTCCACTGAGTCGTGTCCTTTAGTCCAACAGAAACTGAACCACATCAGCGACACAAGGAAACAACTGTTTTTATCAGAGACATTATAGTTTATGTAAATGAGTCATGTGGTTTTAAGTTTAATTTGTGTAAAACATAAACAAATGTGTCAAAGCTGCATTAAACATGTTGTGACAAAGTGGGTTTTTGTCTCATTTTAAACTCATTCATTTAATTCCACATTTTGATTTCTCAATATCCTATAATTACAGTTGCATATAATTCTTAGTTTTTGTTAATTATCACATTAGACATTGTTGATTTAAATAAACTTTTTTTGTTTATTCATTCTAGTTTGTCTTCCTCACACTGACCTGCAGCTCCACCTGGTCCAGACAGAAGAGGACGAGCCTCATGTCGACTGTTTTTAAAACCTCGGAGGAGGTCGGGGGCTGGACCGTGTGGAGGAAAACTGGTTTAAATTCTGATTCATTATTTTTTTGTGTATTTGGTTTTGTAGTTATTTTCAACACAGTTTAGTTTATGTTGATTTTAAAAGGGACTTGGGCCCAGGAAAAACATCTTTGCTTTTGAAAAGTGACCTGGAACCAAACCTCACCGGGGGGAGGGGGGAGGTACTTCCTGTTGGGCGAAGGATAAAAGCAGCAGGTGTCATCAGTTCGGAGACACTTCTGTGAAGGTTGTTTAGTGGTTTTTGATTTGAGTGACTTATTTTCTGTTTATTTGTACTTTCGTTGGTGAACTCCAGAACTAAAACAGTACCAGCAAAACCCGACTTTAGGTCTTAAGGTCTTAAAGACCTTAAGACCTAAGGTCCGGTTCGTTTAGGTCCGGTCCGACGCCCCGGCGGTTCTGACCTGAGTGAGTCGGATCCTGAAGTCGTCCACCAGCTCCCTCTGCAGCTCCAGGAACTTCAGCTGAGACGAGGCGCACGGTAACCCACGGTAACGGTCTGAGGGAAACACACCGGGATATTACAGCCTGGTCCAGTCCTGGTCCAGTCCTAGACTTGGTTTACTCCCAGTCCAGTCCTAGTCTTGGTTCAGTCCCAGTCTTGGTTTATTCCTGATCCTGGTCCAGTCCTGGTCCACTCCTGGTATTGGTCCAGTCCTGGTCCAGTCCTGGTCCAGACCTGGTTCAGACCTGGTCTTGGTTCAGGTCCTGGTCTTGGTTCAAGTCCTCGTCTTGGTTCAAGTCCTGGTTCCAGCCTGGTTCAGTCCTTGGTCTAGTCCTAGTCCTGGTTTAACCCTTATTCAGTCCTGTTTTAGTCCTGGTCCTGACTCAGTCCTGATTCAGTCCTGGTCTTGGTTCAGTCCTTGGTTCCATCCTGGTCTAGTCCTTGGTCTAGTCCTTGGTCTAGTCCTTGGTCTAGTCCTTGGTCTAGTCCTTGGTCTAGTCCTTGGTCTAATCTTAGTCCTGGTTTAACCCTGGTCCAGTCCAGGTCCAGTCTTCACCTGTGATGACCTGCAGGAGGGTCATGAAGGTCTCTGCACAGTCTGGAGCTTTGAGTTCGTCCACGTCGCTGATGTCCTTGTACTGAGAACTCCAGGCTCCTTCAGACGCCAACATGGAGTCCACCTTCTCCAACGCCACTGAAGAAACAAACAAACAAACAACATGGAGTCCACCTTCTCCAACGCCACTGAAGAAACAAACAAACAAACAACATGGAGTCCACCTTCTCCAACGCCACTGAAGAAACAAACAAACAACATGGAGTCCACCTTCTCCAACGCCACTGAAGAAACAAACAAACAACATGGAGTCCACCTTCTCCAACGCCACTGAAGAAACATTTTACTTTTAATTCATCCAGATATTTCACATTTACTTCAGAACTGTTCTTCAAACTGTTCTCCTCAGATGTTTCTCCAGGTTCCAGTCGTTTCTTCTCTCTGACCCTCTGAGGTTTCAATGAGAAGAAACGACCTGGAGGAACCTGGAGGAACCTGGAGAGCACAGGTGTGGATTAAATCAGAGTGTGTCTTACTCTTCTTCTCCATGGAGAGCCACTTCTGGAGCAGGTTCTCCTCGAGGAGCAGGTGGAGCAGGCCGGGCACAGACGGAGGGAGCAGCAGCTGACCACGGAGCTCCTTCTCGAAGTGCAGCACCTCCTCCACCAGGTGGCAGAAGAGAGCGTCCTCGTACAGCAGCCGGGACGCGTCGCTCTGAACCTTCAGCTGGACCAGAGACAAGAGCCCGCGGCAAAAGTCCACCTGGAACCAGACCAAAACCAGGTCTAAACCAGGTCTAAACCAGGTCTAAACCAGGTCTAAACCAGAGACAAGAGTCCACAGCAAAAGTCCACCTGAAACCAGACCAAAACCAGGTCTAAACCAGGTCTAAAGCAGAGACAAGAACCTATGGCAAAGGTCCACCTGGAACCAGATCAAAACCAGGTCTAAAACCAGGTCTAAACCAGAGACAAGAGCCCGCGGCAAAAGTCCACCTGGAACCAGACTGGAACCAGACCAAAACCAGGTCTAAACCAGGTCTAAACCAGAGACAAGAACCTACGGCAAAAGTCCACCTGGAACCAGACCAAAAACAGGTCTAAAAGAGGTCTAAAATAGGTCTAAAAGAGGTTTAAAAGAGGTCTAAACCAGGTCTAAACCAGGTCTGAACCAAGTCTGAACCAGGTCTGAAATAGGTCTAACCCAGGTCTAAACCAAAGACAAGAACCTACGGTTAAAGTCGACCTGGAACTAGATCAAAACCAGGTCTAAACGTGGTCTAATTGTGGTCTAAATGAGGTCTAGACCAGGTCTAGACCAGGTCTCACCTTGGCGCTGACCCCGGCTCCGGCTCGGTCCAGGATGGGTTGGATCTTCTCCTCCAGAAACTCTGAGCTGTAATTGATCCAGACCAGGACCTGGGTCAGGTACCACTCGGGCTGTGGACAGAGGAGCAAAATGTTCCACATATGAGCTTTAAAATAAATCTCCACACTTCACAAACGTTTCTTCTTCTCGTTCTTGGTTTGGCATCAGCTCCACAAACTCGTCGTCACATTAATCTTACGCTTTCAAACGACACTTTCTGACACTTTGCTGCTGACGTGTGGGTCGTGTCACCATGGTAACCGCTGAACATTCCCCCACAGACACACATGCAGACCCCCCGGCGTGGAGCGAGCCGTAGCGGACTCAGAGTCAGAGTCAGAGTCAGAGTCAGAGTGAGAGTCAGAGGAGTCGTGGCTCAGACCTTGCTCAGACAGTTGGTTTGTCTGTTTCCGTAAAAGTGGAACTTGAATCTCTTGGTGAGCGGCAGGAGCATGATCTGCAGCGGGAGGCACACTTCCTGTTTACGCCCCGTGGAACTCTGGGAAATGATGTCATCCCTGAGTTTGGCAAGATGTAAGGACAGAAGAACTACAAAAACTACAAATCTACAAAACACCAAAACTACAAAACTACAAATCTGCAAAACTACAAAACTACAAAAACTACAAATCTACAAAACTACAAATCTACAAAACTACAAATCTACAAAACTACAAAAACTACAAATCTACAAAACTACAAATCTACAAAAACTACAAAAACTACAAATCTACAAATCTACAAAACTACAAAAACTACAAAAACTACAAAACTACAAAACTACAAAACTACAAAACTACAAAACTACAAAACTACAAATACTACAAAAACTACAAATCTGCAAAACTACAAAAACTACAAATCTACAAAACTACAAAAACTACAAATCTACAAAAACTACAAAACTACAAATCTGCAAAACTACAAATCTACAAAACTACAAATCTACAAAACAACAAAAACTACAAATCTACAAAAACTACAACACTACAAATCTACAAAAACTACAAATCTACAAAACACTGAAACACCAAGATGCCAAGACACCAAAACAGCAGAAGAAGACATGAGGAGAAAAATGCCAAAATGTTCGTGGAACTTTCCAAATGAGCCCTGAGCAGCTCTAAACCAGGTCTAAACTGGGTCTAAACCATATCTAAAACCAGGTCTAAACCAGGTCTAAACCGGGTCTAAACCAAGTCTAAACCCAAGTCTAAAAAGGGTCTAAACACATCTAAAACCAGGTCTAAACTGGGTCTAAACTGTCTAAATCAGGTCTAAAATCAGGTCTAAAACCAGGTCTAAAACCACGTCTAAAACCAGGTCTAAAACCAGGTCTAAAACCAGGTCTAAAACCAGGTCTAAAAAGAGTCTAAAACCAGGTCTAAAAAAAGTCTAAACCACATCTAAAACCAGGTCTAAACCAAGTCTAAACCGGGTCTAAACCAGATCTAAACCCAGGTCTAAAAAGGGTCTAAACCGTGTCTAAAACGTGTCTAAAACAAGTCTAAGCCAGGTCTAAATCCAGGTCTAAAACCAGGCCTAAACCAGTATTCGAGGTCTAAAAAGGATACGAGGTCTGCAGAGCGAGGAGCTGAGACACCAGAGCCTCGAGCTGAGACGAAACATCTGGAACGTTCTGAGGAACCGACAGGACCTGAGTCGGAGGAGACAAGATCGGCCAGTGGAGACACGACAGGACCTCCTCAAAATCACTGAACAAACACAGAAAGATCAGAGAGAGACAGGAGCAGACAGGTGCAGACAGGAGCAGACAGGAGCAGACAGGAGCAGACAGGAGCAGGCAGACAGGCGCAGACAGGTGCAGACAGGTGCAGACAGGAGCAGACAGGAGCAGACAGGTGCAGACAGGAGCAGACAGGTGCAGACAGGTGCAGACAGGTGCAGACAGGTGCAGACAGGTGCAGACAGGTGCAGACAGGAGCAGACAGGAGCAGACAGGAGCAGACAGGTGCAGACAGGAGCAGACAGGTGCAGACAGGTGCAGACAGGTGCAGACAGGAGCAGACAGGAGCAGACAGGAGCAGGCAGGCGCAGACAGGTGCAGACAGGTGCAGACAGGTGCAGACAGGTGCAGACAGGAGCAGACAGGAGCAGACAGGAGCAGACAGGAGCAGACAGGAGCAGACAGGTGCAGACAGGTGCAGACAGGTGCAGACAGGAGCAGACAGGAGCAGACAGGTGCAGACAGGTGCAGACAGGTGCAGACAGGAGCAGACAGGAGCAGACAGGTGCAGACAGGTGCAGACAGGAGCAGACAGGAGCAGACAGGAGCAGGCAGGAGCAGACCTGGTGAGTCGGTCTTTGAGGATCTTGTGCCAGAATCGGAGCGTCTGCTGGAGGAAGTTCTGGAGGTGGGAACATCTGGACTCCTTCAGGGACACGACCAGGGCGGACATTTTGTCCACGGCGGAGACGGCGTCCCACACTGAGTTTGTCATGAGACACTGCTGCACCAGAGAACTGAGGACAGACCGAGACAGACCGAGTCAGACCAGACCGAGTCAGACCGAGTCAGACCGAGACAGAGAGACAGACCGAGTCAGACCGAGACCGAGTCAGACCGAGACGAGACCGAGACAGACCGAGTCAGACCGAGACCGAGACAGACCGAGACAGACCGAGTCAGACCGAGTCAGACCGAGTCAGACCGAGTCAGACCGAGACAGACCGAGACAGACCGAGTCAGACCGAGTCAGACCGAGTCAGACCGAGACAGACCGAGACAGACCGAGACAGACCGAGACAGACAGACCGAGACAGACCGAGACAGACCGAGACAGACCGACCGAGACAGACCGAGACAGACCGAGTCAGACCGAGTCAGACCGAGTCAGACCAGACCGAGTCAGACCAGACCGAGACAGACCGAGACAGACCGAGACAGACCGAGACAGACCGAGAGACCGAGACAGACCGAGTCAGACCGAGACAGACCGAGACCAGACCGAGTCAGACCGAGTCAGACCAGACCGAGTCAGACCGAGTCAGACCGAGTCAGACCGAGACAGACCGAGACAGACCAGACCGAGTCGGACCGAGTCAGACCAGACCGAGTCAGACCGAGTCAGACCGAGTCAGACCGAGACAGACCGAGACAGACCGAGACAGACCGAGACAGACCGAGTCAGACCGAGTCAGACCGAGACAGACCGAGTCAGACCGAGTCAGACCGAGTCAGACCAGACCGAGTCAGACCAGACCGAGTCAGACCGAGCCAGACCGAGTCAGACCGAGTCAGACCGAGACAGACCGAGTCAGACCGAGACAGACCGAGTCAGACCGAGACAGACCGAGTCAGACCGAGTCAGACCGAGTCAGACCGAGTCAGACCAGACCGAGACAGACCGAGTCAGACCGGGACGAGTCCGGGGTTCAGGCCCAGGTCTGGTCACAAACACCTATCCACACACACACACACACACCTGTCCACACACACGCACCTGTCCACACACACACCTGTCCACACACACACACACCTGTCCACACACACACGCACCTGTCCACACACACGCACCTGTCCACACACACGCACCTGTCCACACACACACGCACCTGTCCACACACACACGCACCTGTCCACACACACACCTGTCCACACACACACCTGTCCACACACACACCTGTCCACACACACGCACCTGTCCACACACACACCTGTCCACACACACACCTGTCCACACAGACACACACACACACTGTCCACACACACACACACTGTCCACACACACACACACTGTCCACACACACACTGTCCACACACACACACACACACTGTCCACACACACGCACCTGTCCACACACACGCACACTGTCCACACACACGCACCTGTCCACACACACACACACCTGTCCACATGCACCTGTCCACACGCACCTGTCCACACACACACGCACCTGTCCACACACACACACACACTGTCCACACACACACCTGTCCACACACGCACCTGTCCACACACACGCACCTGTCCACACGCACCTGTCCACACACACACACACCTGTCCACACACACACCTGTCCACACACACACGCACCTGTCCACACACACACCTGTCCACACACACACCTGTCCACACACGCACCTGTCCACACACACACCTGTCCACACGCACCTGTCCACACACACACCTGTCCACACACACACACACTGTCCACACACACACACTGTCCACACACACACACTGTCACACTGTCCACACGCACCTGTCCACACACCTGTCCACACACACCTGTCCACACACACTGTCCACACGCACCTGTCCACACACACACCTGTCCACACACACCTGTCCACACGCACCTGTCCACACACGCACCTGTCCACACACACCTGTCCACACGCACCTGTCCACACACGCACTGTCCCACACTGTCCACACGCACCTCCACACGCACCTGTCCACACGCACACTGTCCACACTGTCCACACACACCTGTCCACACGCACCTGTCCACACACACCTGTCCACACACACCTGTCCACACACACCTGTCCACACACACACACACTGTCCACACACACCTGTCCACACACACCTGTCCACACGCACCTGTCCACACACACCTGTCCACACACACCTGTCCACACACGCACCTGTCCACACGCACCTGTCCACACACACCTGTCCACACACGCACCTGTCCACACGCACCTGTCCACACACACACCTGTCCACACGCACCTGTCCACACACACCTGTCCACACACACCTGTCACCTGTCCACACACACCTGTCCACACACACACCTGTCCACACACACCTGTCCACACGCACCTGTCCACACACACCTGTCCACACGCACTGTCCACACACACACCTGTCCACACGCACCTGTCCACACACACCTGTCCACACACGCACCTGTCCACACACACCTTCCACACACGCACCTGTCCACACGCACCTGTCCACACACACACCTGTCCACACACGCACCTGTCCACACGCACCTGTCCACACGCACCTGTCCACACGCACCTGTCCCACACACACACACCTGTCCACACACGCACCTGTCCACACACACCTGTCCACACGCACCTGTCCACACACACCTGTCCACACACGCACCTGTCCACACACACCTGTCCTCGTGGTCGTACCTGAGTTCTTCGATCTGTTGGAGACACTGTAGATATTTCATGTGTCTCTCGATGACGTCGACCTGATGAAACGCGAGTCCAAAACTCTCCATACACGGACGAGCCTCCTCCAGGTGCTGATACACAAACCAGAGATTAGTCCTGGTCTAGTCCTGGTACGGTCCCTGGTCCAGTCCCTGGTCCAGTCCCTAGTCCAGTCCATGGTCCGGTCCATGGTCCGGTCCATGGTCCGGTCCATGGTCCGGTCCATGGTCCGGTCCATGGTCCGGTCCATGGTCCGGTCCATGGCCCGGTCCATGGTCCGGTCCATGGTCCGGTCCCTGGTCCAGTCCATGGTCCAGTCCATGGTCCAGTCCCTGGTGTAATCCTTGGTTCAGGTCCTGGTCTGGTCCGTGGTCTGATTCTTGGTCTAGTCCCTGGTTCAGTCCCTGGTTGAAATTCTGAGTCTAAACCTGGTTCAGACCTTGTTTAGTCCTGGTTTAGTCCTGGTTTAGTTCTGGTTTAGTTCCTGGTTTAGTCCTGGTTTAGTCCTGGTTTAGTTCTGGTTTAGTCCTGGTTTAGTCCTGGATTAGTTCTGGTTTAGTCCTGGTTTAGTTCTGGTTTAGTTCTGGTTTAGTTCTGGTCTAAACCTGGTTGAGACCTGTTTGAGTTCTGGTTTAAACCTGGTCCAGACCTGGTTGAGTTCTTCAGACACCTGCTCTTCTCTCTTGAGCAGATCTTGGGTTTTTTCAGAAACTTTTTCTGCGTCTCTGAGCGCCGACGACACTCGCGGAGGAAAACCGTCCGGCTCCGTCCGAACCTGGAACAAAAACAAAAACAAGAAGAAAAATCCTGATTTCAAACGAACGATCGATGAAACTCAAATCTCAAAAATCTAACCACAAAGCCCAGTTCCACATTTACACTGGAACCTGAACTCGCACGTTCTGTCAATTCAAGTCAGTTTGTGTAAATAAAAAAGTGAAAAGAACACGGAACATTCTGGAATCTCACGTCAGTCGGTTTAGTCTTAGTTTAGTCCTGGTTTAGTCTTAGTTTAGTCCTGGTTTAGTCTTAGTTTAGTCCTGGTTTAGGCCTGATTTAAATAATAATAATGCATCAGTTTTATATAAAGAGCTTTTTTGGACACTCAAAGACGATTTACAGATCATTTTTCATTCACTCCAGACCCAGTGGTGTAAACTACTACTGTAGCCACAGCTGCCCTGGGGCAGACTGACGAAAGTGAGGCAGCCAATCTGCACCATCAGTCCCTCCGACCACCACCATCACTCACACACACACCACTTTCATACTGAGCAATGTGGGTGAAGTGTCTTGCCTAAGGACACAACGACAGTTACGCCTCCTGTGGCTCCTGATTTTCCCAGTGTCTCCATCCAAGTCCAGTCCAGTCCAGACCAGACCCAGACCCTGCTGAGTTTCTGAGATCTGACGGGATCAAACTTTGACAAAACCATATGGCTACAATGTGGTCCTAATGTAGTCCTGGTTTAGACTTGGTTCAGTCCTGGTTCAGTCCTGGTTCAGTCCTGGTTTAGATCAGATTGATCAAACACAGAGACACCTGGGACATTTCTGGGACAAATCAGTGTTTTTGTATAAATCTGCTGGAACACAGGCTCCAAAAGGGGGACTGTCCCGGGTCAACAGGACCATCTGGACCCTAAACAAACACTAACCCGTGTCTTGTTTGTGTTGTTCGTGTTTGTCATGTTTGTGTTGTTTGTTTGTGTTGTTTATGTCGCGGACCTGTTCCTCCAGCGCCTCCGTCTCCCTCCGGAGCCGCTCCAGCAGCTCCTCCGCCCGCCTCAGAGACGCCACGTCCGGCAGCGCGCTCCGGAGCAGCTCCAGCTCCGGCTCCAGCTCCGGCTCCAGCTCCAGCTCCGGCTCCGGCTCCGGGCTGCGGGGAGAGTCCGGGCTCTGCTCCCCGGTCCCGGTCTCGGTCTCTGGTCTCTGTCTCCTCTTCGGGCATCTTCAGGTTTGTGTTGATGTTTCTCTGAACTGTCACCGCCGCCATGTTTGCCACGCACTTACGTACACGGCACACGTCATCACGCTCGTCGGGGAAATGTCTCCACCCAGCGGCGACACAGAGACACTGCACCTGCAAATGGTTTAAATATTTCCTGCACAAAAAAACATTTCTCTTCTAAATAAAAACTTAGAGCCAATAATAATAATAATAATTTAAAAAAATCTAGTTGAATTTTAGTCCATGTGAGGCCTGGTTTAGTTCTAGTTTATTCCCGATTTAGTCCTGGTCAAGTTTAATTAGTTAATATTTCATACATAAAACACATTTCAAAATAAAAACTAAGTCCAGCTTCAGTCCACATAAGACCTTGGTCTAGTTCTGGTCTAGTCCAGGGTAATGCTTTGGTCTAGTCCTGGTTTAGTCCAGGGTGAGGCCATGGTCTAGTCCTGGTCTAGTGCTGGTTTAATCCTGGTTTAGTCCAGGGTAAGACCTTGGTCTAGTCCTGGTTTAATTAATCAATATTTCATGTATTAAAAAAAACATCTCTTAAAAACAGAAGCCCAGAGCCAGTAAAAAAAACTAACAAACCTCGTCCAACTTTAGTCCAGTTAACTGGGTAAGGCCTGGTTCAGTTCTAGTTTAGTCCTGGTTAAAACGTGGTTTGGTTAATATTCCACGCATAAGCACAAAATAAAAGCTCAGACAGTTTTATAAACCCTAACAAACCTTGTCCAGCTTTAGTCCACCTAAGGCCAAGGTTTAGGTCCTGGGTAAGGCCTGGTTTAGTTCTAGTTTAACACCAGTTTAGTCCCGATTTAATCCTGGTTTACTTAATATTTCAAGCATAAAAGTTTCAAAATAAAGGCCCAGAGCCAGTTGAAAAAAAAAACAATTAAACTAGTCCAACTTCAGTCCACGTAAGGCCTTAGTCTAGTCCTGGTCTAACCCTGGTTTTGTTCCAGTTTAGTCCCGGTGTAGTCCTGGTTTAATTACTTAACATTTCATGTTAAAAAAACACTTAAAAACTTTAAAAACTCTAACAAACCCAGTCTAACTTTAGTCTATGTAAGTCCTTGGTCTAGTCCTGGTCTAGTCCTGGTCTAGTCCTGGTCTAGTCCTGGTCTAGTTCAATTATTTAACATTTCAAGTATAAAAAAACATTTAAAATTCAAAATAAAAGCCCAGAGCCAGTTTAAAAACCCTAATAAACCTTTAATTTGAAGTTTGTACATTTGACCCATTCCACTGGACCAGTTTTAGTCCGGTCGGTGCTCGAGTGGCACTTCTGGACCGCGGCTAAAACCCACTGCTGCATCATCGTAATAATAATAAGCACTTAATACATATATACCAATGTACAATCTTTACAGAAAAATACACGTGAAAAAGAGTCTCCTCCTCCTCCTCCTCCTCCTCGTCCTCCTCCTCCGGTGGTTTAGTCCTCAAACACAAACGCACTTCCACAATTACAAAAATATCTCATGAACAAAGCAAAAACACAGATCTGTGGGCCGACGAGAACGAGTCCGCGGCGTCCGAGAACGAGTCCGCGGCGTCCGAGAACGAGTCCGCGGCGTCCGAGAACGAGTCCGCGGCGTCCGAGAACGAGTCCGCGGCGTCCGAGAGCGTCCACCACGTCTGCAGCGTCGTCCGCGGCGGCTGAGAATAAATACGACAATATACACGGTTCTCAAATAAACACTAAAGATAAAACGAGGGAAAGACCTGGTTTAGTCCACATTTAGTCCTGGGATAGACCTGGTTTAGTCCACATTTAGTCCTGGGATAGTTTAGTCCTGGGATAGACCTGGTTTAGTCCACATTTAGTCCTGGGAAAGACCTGGTTTAGTCCACATTTAGTCCTGGGAAAGATCTGGTTTAGTCCACGTTTAGTCCTGGGATAGACCTGGTTTAGTCCAGGTTTAGTCCTGGGTAAAACCTGGTTTAGTCCTAGGCAAGACCCGGTTGAGTCCAGATTTAGTCCTGGGCAAGACCCGGTTGAGTCCAGATTTAGTCATGGGCAAGACCCAGAGTAGTCCAGATTGAGACCCAGAGTAGTCCAGATTGAGACCCAGCGTAGTCCAGATTGAGACCCAGCGTAGTCCAGATTGAGACCCAGCGTAGTCCAGATTTAGTCCTGGGATAAACCTGGTTTAGTCCAAGATTACGATTTATACCTAAATTTAGTCCTTTTCAGACCTGATCCAGTCCTGGTGCAAGTTCCGAGTCAAAGTCCCAAGTCCTGTTAAAACCTGGTTCAATCCCTGGTCCGGTTCTGGTCCAGTTCTGGTCGAGTCCTGGTCCTGGTCCTGCTCGGGGGGAATAAGGCACTTTGGATTTCGTTGCTGCTTCATGACAGTTTAAAGAGCGAGCTCCGCCTGACGCCACGTTCACAGCCCATTTAAAGCTCCACTGTGGAACTTTTCTGGTTCCGGTTACCGCTTTTGTCTCAGATGTCCCACAGTGCGGCATTAAACTCCTCTGTCTCCACGGAGACGAGGCGCAGGCCCGGTCACACAGAAGTGTTACGCAAAACAAAACACCTGCCGCTGGATAAAGTCTTAATGCCCTACTGAGGAACATTCAGAGGAAACCATGGAGACGAGCGAGCGACGTATCTGCCTCCACAAAAGTTACACTGTAAAGCTTTAACAGAGCGCACACTCTGATCTAAACCCAGTGACTCTGCAAAAACTGATTTGATTTTTTTATCAAGAAGAAAATCAGAACATTAAATCAACTTTAGTCCTGGTTTCGTCACTGTTAAGTCCTGGTGAAGACCTCATTAAGACCTGGTCAAGTTCTAGTTTAGTCCTGGTTCAGTAGTCCTGGATAAGACCTGCAGCAGTCCTGGGGTTTAGTCCTGGGGTTTAGTCCTGGGGTTTAGTCCTGGGGTTTAGTCCTGGGGTTTAGTCCTGGGGTTTAGTCCTGGGGTTTAGTCCTGGTTAAGAACAGAGGACAATGTGCAGTTCTCAGGAGGAGCTGGAGGTGGCGCTGTGCAGTCTGTTTAAGGGTTGAGTCGAGTCCCCGGTCGAGTCCCCGGTCGAGTCCCCGGTCGAGTCCCCGGTCGAGTCCCCGTCGGTTTCCAATTTTCAAAAAACTGCTAAAACTATTTATTTATTTGTTAATTAATTTAAAGTTATGCATTTTATTCAAATGTAATCAACATAATCATGGTCCTGGTCCAGTCCCGGTCCAGTCCCGGTCCAGGTGTATGTTTACTGTTAAAATCTGTTTTTAATCTCACTGTAGTCGGGTTCAGATCTTCTTAAACTCTGCATTTGTCTCAGTTTTGAATCAATCTTTCATTAGTTCTGGCTCGTGACGTGAGGCGGAGCGACCGGAGGAACGCAAACAACAACAACAACAACATGGAAAACGTGTTCGGATCAACTGCGAAAAACGGGATTTAAAGACCCAACGTGACACGAAACAGAATCCTGGAACTTTGAGTCGCGTTCTTGTGTTTTGTCGTTCAAATGAAACGAAAACGAAAACCGAAACACGAGTCCAGCTCAGAGAATCGCGTAATATCGAATCTTTAAACGGGAATGACATGACAAGACACAAGAGTAAAAAGGAACTGATGTGGAGAGAACTGGATTGTGGGTTTTAGTTTGTAAAATCTGCAGATGTTCGGAGTTAAAACGGGCGGGTGAATCGTTGCGGAGTGTTTGGAGCGAGCAGCCGTGTCGCGAGCTTATTTTTGGGTTCAGTATAAAAAAAACGTGTGCCGAAACGTCCGTTGGTTATTTACACGTCTTTGCGTTTTGTCTTAAAAACCGTAAACCATGCAGCAATTTTCCAGAGCGAAAAAGGTAAAAGAGGAAGTAGTGAGTGGAGTTTGTTCAATTGTTCCACTTTGAGAGGGAAAAAATAAAAAATAAAAAAGTCCGTCGTCGGAAAGTGAAGGTGTGGGCGCGGGAGGGGTTCGGTCCTGGTTCAGTTCCCCCTTTGGTCTCGGTCGTACGGTGAGCGGAGGTGGCGGCGGGTGGTGACAGGTGGCGGGTGACAGGTGCAGTTCTCAGGAGGGGCAGGTGGAGGCGCTGTGGAGTCTGGCGCTGTGCAGGGGCGCGGTGCAGCTCTGGGCCTGGGGGAAGCGCTGGTGGTACCGGTCCAGCCGCAGGTACTTCACCGTCACCAGTTTACCTGAAAAAAAAAAAAAAAGCACAAACGGGTCAGAGTCGGGTCAACTGCGGAACTTTTCGGGGAGCAGGTCTGCTGTGAGATCGTTTCCATGGAGATATGAGGTTCCACGGTGTGTCGTTAAACTCTTTTATGTTGCGTTTGTTTAGTTTTACGGCTCAAAAAATGGACACATTCCCACAGTGAGTGAGCTCGCCTCTCCACAGATCTGGACACGCCGATCAGACCCAGGGGTGGAAAAACGTTTTGGCCACAAAAGGTTTTAAAATTTGACGGAAAAGTCGGACCAGGAGCAGATGGATGGAGTGGAGAGAAAGAAACAATAACATGGGACATGAAGAAAACCTGAGCTTGAATTTAAATTGAAAATCATTACAAAACATCACAACAAAATATGTGTGTTTAAAGTCCCACGTTTTTTACCATTTACTGAAATTACTCTTAAAACACTGAAAATGTAATTAATAAAATAAAGCTTTTTTATTACTGACAGTGACGATTTTAAAGCACTGAAAGTTCTGTTCTCTTCAGGATCTTCATCATCTCTCTCCTCTGACTCTTTATTTGGAAACAGTAGAAAATGCAGATCTACTTCTGTTCAGTGTGCGGCTCCAAAACTCAACGACGACCAGCACCAGGACCAGGACCAGGACGACACAGTGCCGGCGTGCCAGTCTGCGAGTGTTATATTTGACCTGGTGCATTGTTTATTTTGAGAATATATGTGTACATGCACACCTGAACACAAATGACATGTAACACATAAATGCATTTTTACACAACAGCAGAGAAACTTTTGATTTCAGTGGGACAGTTGTTGTGTCTGTTTTAAACCGCGCATCAAAGTCTGGGGTTAGTTTGTTGTGGCGATTCTCAGGATGTGTTCGTGTGGTGTCGGAATGATCGGAAAAATGACTTTCCCGCTGGAAAAATTTACATGAACGTCTCCTCATGTCGGAAAAACAACTCGGCATGTCAGAGCTTCCGACACCACATGAATACAGCAGAAACTGCCGCAACAAAGGTCAGTGTATCTAGTGCATCATCTACTGGGAAGGAAAAATAAAACATTAACAAGGTTTATTATTATAATTTATTCAAGGTCGGCGGGCCGGATTAAAAGGTTTAAAGGGCCGCACACGGTCCTCGGGCCGTAGTTTGTCCACCCCTGGTTTAGTCTCTTGCCTCAGGGTCACAGTGACTTGGCTGAACAGGTTTGTTTCTGTCTGTACAAACTGAATGCAACAAACTCCAGGATTTTAAATGTACATTTCAAAGTCTCTAATAACTGTGTGTCTGGACCTGGGTCTTTCACATGATACAAGACACACACATGCTCCAGGACACACTGTGCTCACAGTAAACACACAAATACAACAGACGCTCTGTGTGTTTTGACGGGGATCTGCACCTTCGCTCATGTAGAGTGTCAGAACAGGATGGATTCTATTTTGTAAAATCTACGTGTGTCGCGTTGTTCCACACACACGAGGGCAGTGTGCTCATCCTGATTCACTTTTAATGTATTATAAAAACTAAACCTCCAAAAGCTGCAGTTTTTAACGCTCGTGCAGGATGAAACACGTGTGCAGTGGAGTCAGGACTGTGACCCAACACAGAGGAGGAAATAACCTGAGAGAAACTCTTCCTCAAACGAAGCACAGGAGCAAGATTTTGGTTTAATGAAGCACTGGGACTGAACACAACTGAAACACTTTATATTTGTTTTTTCGAACACAAAGCCGAACGTGACCTCAACTCAAAATATTCCCTAATGTGGAGCTCTTGCAAATGAGAAGTTCCTCCTAAAGTGCCCGTCCCAACCCAAACCCACACACTTTAATAAAATCTTGACTGTTCTGAGTCGTCCAACCTGTCGTTTAATAATAATAATAATAATAATAATAATAATAATAACACTTAGCAGATGTTGTGGACAAACAGATGAGGTGAGTTTGGAGTTTTACCGTCGAACCAGGATCCGTGCAGAGCTTTGAAGGCCTTCCCCGAGTGCTCTGCAGACAGACACTTCACGTACACACAGCCCTGACACCACAGGAGGAGAAAAGAAGAAAAGACACTTTTACACACAGAGAAACTTCAGTCAAACAGGTTTAAGATGCAGAAGAGCGAGAACTACACAGGGAAATTTGGCAGCATTTTGTCTTCAGGACACATTTGTTTATGTTTTACAGAAACCAAACTTAAAACCACGTGACTCATTTGCATAAACTATAAAGCTCTGATAAAAACAGTTGTTTCCTTGTGTCTGATGTGGTTCAGTTTCTGTCGGACTAAAGGACACAGTGACTCAGTGGAATATGAGTGTTCTCTCTGTGACAGAGGATGTTCTGCTGATGGTGAGTCTGTTCTGTGTGTGTGTCGTGTTGGAGATGGTTCATGTTTGCAGTACAGGTCTGTGCTGAACAGAATATTCAGTGGTTGTGTGGTTGTGTATGGGAGGAGGCACAGTGGGCGGCATGGTTAAGTCCTGGTTAAGTCCTGGCTAAATCCTGGTTTAGTTCTGGTTTTAGTCCTGGTTTAGACCTGGTTTAGTTCGCATATGCGTTAGTTTGGGGGACTGCAGTTTATAATCCCACCCGCCCGCTCCCGCTTTATGTAGTTCCGCGCCCTCTCGCGCAGCACTGTTTTGCGTCGGATCCTGCAGGACTCTACTTCATAGCTCACCAAAGCCGTACTGAAACATTTTGGTAACACAGTATCAACATTTGGACACCACCCAACCCTAGCCTGTGGTCAGTTCAAGTCAATGGGCCGAGCTGAAAGGTTCACGTCCCCAGATTCACCTTTAGCCCGGTGAGGTTTCTGCATATCACATGATCACTTTGACCAATCAGAGCGAGAGGAGCAGAGCAGAGCCGGAGTAGAGATGCGACGATGGCAGTTACAGCCGCAGACACGTGACGAAAAATAATATTTTAATTAAAGTCGGGCAGGTGGCGGTTTCAATACGCAAATAAAAAACTCTGAACTCGGAGCAACTGGGAGGAGACGGAGCAGGTGCGGTTTTGAAAACTGGTCAAAAACTGTGGTTGCAAATGGACAGTGGGCGGATGATGAGTTTTGTGATGTGGTTGCGGATGAAAACGTGGCCCATCCTCACACCTCTAAGACGGAGCCAACGATTATGAAACGTTTTTAAGACAACTGAAGGATTTTGAGCTGAGAAAAAGTTTTTACGATCTAAAAATATGTAAAACCTGACACGAACTCTGACATTTTTGAAAACTGTAAGTCCCTGTCAGCCCCTGTCCCCTGTCGGTCAGTGTTGTGTGAGCCTGACCTCTCTGGAGTTCTTGTCGACGGCGATGTGCACGATGCCGTTGTTGTCGCTGCACTTTTCCAGGATGGCCTCGTGGATGGCCAGGTCCCAGTTCTCTCCCACCTCCCTGAAACACACCAGAGAAGTTCCAGAGTGAGGCTTTAGGTCTTCAGATATCTGCAGTGAAAATGGTGTAAATGTGTTCTGTGGCGGCGCACTCACATGACCGGGTCGAACATGTTCCTGATCTTCAGACACGGCGTCAGGCTGTTCGGAGGAGAATTCCGTCGATCCAGAGGAAAAGCTGAGGAGAGATTCACAGGTGAGTTTATACGTCAACAAAAAAAAAAAAAACCTCAGCCCAATCTGACTCTCCTCTGTAGCCCTCCCTCTCTCATCTTCTCCCTCACTCCTGTCTCTCTCTTTAATCCTTCGATGCTGGTCTCACGGTTCGATCCACTCGTGTCTCGGTGTCATTTGTTTTGGTCAAAGTTTGTCCAGTTTTCTTGTCGTCCTCCTCAGATGAAGAAACAAAAAAACAGCTCCACAGAGACTCACAGCTGAAATATTTTAACAGAGGAGGGTTTGATCTTTACTCACTTTTTATTTGACGTTCAGAGACTCAGGAACAACAAAGGGATTCACTTTTAAAAGACATTTAAAGCCCATGTGAAGCCAAAAGTGATTCTAATCAAACGTGCTCGTATTCGCCGCCACGACGCTGCTCGTGATAAACACTTTCTCTTTTTCTCACATTTTGTCTCGTAAGTTTAAATCAGAAAACGTGTGTGAGACGTTTGTGTGGAACAGAAGAGAGTCTGAGTCCAGAAAGAGGACGGGAGACGCAGTGTGTCTGTAAGAGCACAGACTGGAGGGGGGCAGAGTGGGAGGAGCCTCGTACCGTCTCTGCTGGAGACGAGGCAGAGCAGCACCGACAGACGTGTGACGCAGTGAGACTCATCATCAAAAGAAAAGACTCCCCTACAGTCTGTGTGAAGAGTCGACTGGTTTATTATAAAATATAAAACAGCCTGAGAAACTCTTACAGAATTTTGATTCAGTGAAAATCAGACCAATGATTGAACCAAATGAACTAAAACACTTCATGTATAAACTCCAGCTGGACACGAGTGTGTGTCATGTGTTGTCATGTTTCATTAACATCATATTTTACTCATTGGCAGAAAAAAAATACATGATTTTTTTTTTTTTTGCATCTTAAAACATATCGAAATCAAATCAATGTTGTGACCAGTGTATCGAGATACTTATCGAATGATGGGAAAACTGTATCGTTGTATCCCTACTGCTAAATCTCTCCATCTCCCTCCCTCACCCCTCTCTCCCTCCTTCACACACACACACACACACACACACACACACACACACACTCTCTCTCTCTGCGTCCTGACCTTTCCCCTGCCACACTTTGGAGGGTGGTATGTTCTTGTCTCCCAGTGACGGCTGGAGCCACCTCCAGACCAGGAAGTCCGACCCCCCGATGCGCTGGGTCTCCGTCCGGATCCGGGACTCGTTGGCGGAGAGGAACTTCACGGCGCGATCCCAAACCTTCTTCATCTTATTCCTGCAGAAAAGAACAGGAGAGACGATGAGTCAAGACTGAAACATGTTCTTTTGCAAACTGGACACACGGGGGCGTCTGTTTCAGGTTAATAAGAGCAAACCCTGCGTAAGTGAACGGAGATTCACCAGAATCTGCACCAGTGTTGTAGTCAAGACCAGTCTGAGACCACAGGGTCCCGAGACCAGGACAAGACCGAGACCAAGACCACGGCCCATCGAGACCAAATCAAGACCATCTCTGTCATTTTCTACATGTATTTGTATTTTACAGTCATTTTGGCACAAGTATATCAATGTTTTTATAAATCTGTCTCCATTTTATCTGATTCATGTTCATTTAGGCTTAAAATAAACACTCTCTGCCTCTTTTTTGACCCTCACCCACAGTTTGAGAACCCCTTCATTAATCCCACTTTACACAAAACTGAAGAAAGTGTGTAGGATTTTTAATCTTACTGGCTTTACAGTGGGATTTAGCCTCTGCACATTTACTGAGCCAAGCTCACATCGTGACAAACACAGATTTGGCATTTTATTTGGCAAACTTCAGCCACATGTCACTGTAGGTCTAAAGCAGGTCTAAACTCAAACTAAACCAGGTCTAAACTCGGACTAAACCAGAACAAAACCAGGACCAGAGCACAGACCTGTCCTGGGGTTGGACCAGAGAGTCTCTGACGTGGGGGATGGGCAGATACGGCTGCAGCTCCTGGTTCTCCTGACAGGCCTCACTGTGGCTCCTCAGAACATCTGCACAAAAACACACACACACAGAGGTCACACACACAGAGGTCACACACACAGAGGTCACACACACACAGAGGTCACACACACACAGAGGTCACACACACACAGGTCACACACACAGAGGTTACACACACAGGTTACACACACAGAGGTTATACACACACAGAGGTCACACACACACAGAGGTCACACACACACAGAGTCACACACACACAGAGGTCACACACACACACACACAGAGGTCACACACACAGAGGTCACACACACAGAGGTCACACACACAGAGGTCACACACACAGAGGTCACACACACAGAGGTTATACACACACAGAGGTACACACACAGAGGTCACACACACAGAGGTCACACACAACAGAGGTTCACACACACAGAGGTCACACACACAGGTCACACACACAGAGATGCTGCTGCTGTGTGTGTGTGTGTGGATGTGTGTGTGGATGTGTGTGTGGTTCTCACCGATGATGCGTTCCACCATGTCGTACATTCGCCGTGTGTCCTCCTCCTCCCGTCTCCAGCGAAACTTCACGTAAAAGACCAGACCCCAGACTCCGCCCACCACTGCAACACACACACACACAGACACACACAGACACACACACAGAGACACACACACAGACACACAGAGACACACACACAGACACACAGAGACACACACACACACACACACAGACACACACACACAGACACACAGAGACACACACACAGACACACAGACACACACACAGACACACACACAGACACACACACAGACACACACACACACACACAGACACACACACAGACACACAGAGACACACACAAACAGACACACAGAGACACACACAGACACACACACAGACACACACAGACACACAGAGACACACACAGACACACACGAGACACACACACACACATACACACACACACACACACACACACACACACACACAGAGACACACAGACACACACACACACACAGAGACACACACAGACACACACACAGACACACAATTCACACATAGACACACACACACACACAGACACACAGAACACACACATACACACAGAGACACAGTAGGTCAGACTCAAACTTTTCACACCACGAATCACTAAATTAAAGGCTTTTCAGGTCTAAACCAGGACTAAACCAGGACTAAACCAGGACTAAACCAGGACTAAACCAGGTCTAAACCAGGTCTAAACCAGGTCTATTTTAAATTTCTACTAAAATCCCTGTAGTTAGAATGAATCCTTTATAATTCAGTACATTAAAGTATTTTTAACACTGGTGTTTGCAGATTGTACCTGCGCTCTCTGTTACAGAGACACTTTAAGCACAACAGTGTTTTGTTTCTTGTGGACTAACAGGAAATCAATAATAAAAACCCTTTTATTGTTTTTTTTTTTTTTTTTACAAAATAACAAAAGTTCCACACTAGTACAAAGAAAAAGGTAAATGGTAAGGTCATGGTAAATGTTGACTCTCAAACATTATCGTCTTGTCTTCTTATTTGCCACATTTACATGAGAGTTTTAATTCTGAATAAAAATCATTTAATTCAGAATAAAAATGAATTCCGCTTTAAAAAGTCCACGTAAACATTTAATTCCTAATGAAAATTATTATTCGAAATGTAACTTAATTCCAAAATAAGTGGGTGGTTTATTCTGATTTTAAAGCTGAATGAATTTATTCCTGGATCATGTTTCACGTTTATTCTTGTTAAAAATAATCGTCGCTCGTTTAGCTGATGCTCGTTGGGTCGTCCTCTGACATGATGACGCACTGCGAGATGGCGGCGCAGAGCAAACGTCGGTCTCGAGTCGAAACTATTTATTTTTTAATAAGTGCGCTTCAAGAACTACAAATAATACAAAGAGTGGATGGGGAAAACATAAAAACGTGGGAGTGGGCTGAGTACGTAAAGTGTGATGAGACAATTCTCCAGCTGCTGCTTCAAAATTATCATCAGAACCACTGCGGGAAAAGTTTGGATGGTGTTTGTGTCCGTGAAGGAACAACAAACTGAGATGACAGAAAAGCCGGGAGCAGCTGAAGTGTGTGTTTTCTTCCCAAAGACGTAAATCTGTTAGTGTTTCTGTCCAATCAGAACCTTCCCCAGACGCTCACACACATTAAATAACAAACATTTCACCAGTTTAACATCGAAACACCAATTTGGAATTATTATTTCCATGTAAACTCAAAGGAGAATAGTTTAATTTCGATCTATTTGCCGTATTTTTCAGCGCACTTAAAACCCTTTAATGTTCTCAAAAATGGATATATAATATAAGTGCACCTTATATATATATATATATTCTGGTTGTGTTTACTGACCTCACAGTGATTTTCTGTGGTACACGGCGCAAAAATCTGTCAGAATGTTTTAGTACGACTTCGTAAACTACAGAGCTGCACAGCTGGATGGATTGTCGGAGCGTTACGGCTCCTGTCAGGAGCCTCGCGGAGTAAAGGCCAAAGTATAGTTCTGCGTTAACTCAGCGCACACTGGCACCATCGCCTTGTTGCAATAAAAAACCCACATATTCCACTGAGTCGTGCCGCATCAGCGACACAAGGAAAGAGCTGTTTTTTTTCAGCGCTTATTGTTTATGCAAATGAGCCACTTGGTTTTAAGTTTTGTTTCTGTAAATCGTAAACAAATGTGTTAAAGCTGCATTAAACTCATTATTACTCAATGTATATTTGAATCGTCCTCGTAGGAAATAAAAAAACAAACGAACCACCCACATTCACCAAAACAGAAAGGTGACGCCGGGTAAATTACACCACGATCTGCTGATGGATCGTGGACGCCTGGACTAAGGATCAGACTCAAGTGTCGTCTGTTTGTTTCTCTTAATGCTCCTTATGATCTGGTGCAATTTATGTATGAAAATAGACTTAGAATTCTAAATTACTGATACTGCGCTTTATAATCCGGTGCGAATTTATAATTTGAAAAATATGTTAATCCTGAATTAAAAACATCATATAAACGTGGCGACTGTCTCCTTGTCTTCCGTAGCAGCGTCAGTGAAAGTCGTGTGTTGTTCTGGAGTTTTACCTGCGGCGAGGAGCAGAACTTTGCTGATGACGTTGAAGAAGGCTCTTCTGAACCTGCAGGTGAACGGCATTCTGGGATGTGTGGACTCCAGTCGGACGATCTCAGACACGTCGGACAGAGGCTCGCTCGACTCCGCCCCCAAAAGCCTGAGGGAATCAACCAGAGATTTAGATTTACCCCGTGTCATTTTTCATTCCACTCTTCTGTCTCATTTAATGTCTCTCTCTTTTGAATGTTATGATGATTATTTGTTTTGTGACCTAAACTGTGACAATGATCCCATTTAAACTATAAAATGTGCAGATTAAAATACATTTTTAATTCATCCACAACCCAATAAGTGCGCTGTTAGCATGCCAGTTGTTTTAGCGTTGCCATGACAGCAGAAGACTTCTTATAAACTGAGTAAACATGAGGACGCTCTTATTCTAGAATATTCTAACTAAAAATGTTGGTCTCAGTCTCGTCTCGGTCTCGTCCTCGTAGGCACTCGGTCTCGTCTCGGTCTCGTCTCGTCTTGGTCTCCAAGTCGCTTGGTCTCCGTCTCGTCGAGGTCTCGTCGGTCTCGGTCTCGTCTCGGTCTTCTCGAAGTCGCTTGTCTCGTCCTCGGTCTCGGTCTCGGTCTCGTCTCGGTCTTCTGAAGTCGCTTGGTCTCTCGTCTCGTCTCGGTCTTGAAGTCGCTTGGTCTCGGTCTCGGTCTCGGTCTTGAAGTCGCTTGGTCTCGGTCTCGGTCTCGGTCTTGAAGTCGCTTGGAGGTCTCGGTCTCTCGGTCTCGGTCTTGAAGTCGCTTGGTCCTCGGTCTCGGTCTCGTCTCGGTCTTGAAGTCGCTTGGTCTCGTCTCGGTCTTGAAGTCGTCTCGGTCTCGGTCTCGAAGTCGCTTGGTCTCGGTCTCGTCTCGGTCTCGAAGTCGCTTGGTCTCGGTCTCGTCTCGGTCTTGAAGTCGCTTGGTCTCGGTCTCGGTCTCGGTCTTGAAGTCGCTTGGTCTCGGTCTCGTCTCGAAGTCGCTTGGTCTCGGTCTCGTCTCGGTCTCGAAGTCTTGCGGTCTCGGTCTCGGTCTCGGTCGTCTCGGTCTTCGGTCTTGAAGTCGCTTGGTCTCGGTCTCTCGGTCTCGGTCTCGAAGTCGCTTGGTCTCTCGGTCTCTTGAAGTCGCTCTCGGTCTCGTCTCGGTCTTGGTCTCGGTCTCGAAGTCTCGCTTGGTCGGTCTCGAAGTCTCGTCTCGAAGTCTTGGTCTCGGTCTCGTCTCGGTCTCTCGGTCTCGGTCTCGAAGTCGCTTGGTCTCGGTCTCGTCTCGTCGCTTGGTCTCGGTCTTGAAGTCGCTTGGTCTCGGTCTCGAAGTCGCTCGGTCTCGGTCTCGAAGTCGCTTGGTCTCTCTCGGTCTCGAAGTCGCTTGGTCTCGGTCTCGAAGTCTCGGTCTCGGTCTGAAGTCGCTTGGTCTCGGTCTTGAAGTCGCTTGGTCTCGGTCTCGTCTCGGTCTTGAAGTCGCTTGGTCTCGGTCTCGTCTCGGTCTTGAAGTCGCTTGGTCTCGGTCTCGTCTCGGTCTTGAAGTCGCTCGGTCTCGGTCTCGTCTTGAAGTCTTGGTCGGTCTCTCGGTCTTGAAGTCGCTTGGTCTTGGTCTCGGTCTCGTCTCGGTCTTGAAGTCGCTTGGTCTCGGTCTCGTCTCGGTCTTGGGTCGAAGTCGCTTGGTCTCGGTCTCGTCTCGGTCTTGAAGTCGCTTGGACTCGGTCGTCTCGAGTCGCTCTCGGTCTCGGTCTGAAGTCGCTTGGTCTCGTCTCGTCTCGGTCTTGAAGTCGCTTGGTCTCGGTCTCGTCGGTCTTGAAGTCGCTTGGTCTCGTCTGAAGTCGTCTCGTCTCGGTCTCGTCTGTCTCGGTCTTGAAGTCACTTGGTCTCGTCTCGGTCGGTCTCGAAGTCGCTTGGTCTCGTCTCGAAGTCTTTGGTCTCGGTCTCGTCTCGGTCTTGAAGTCGCTTGGTCTCGGTCTCGAAGTCTCGGTCTCGTCTCGGTCTTGAAGTCGCTTGGTCTCGGTCTCGGTCTTGAAGTCGCTTGGTCTCGGTCTCGTCTCGGTCTTGAAGTCGCTTGGTCTCGGTCTCGGTCTCGGTCTTGAAGTCGCTTGGTCTCGGTCTCGTCTCGGTCTTGAAGTCGCTTGGTCTCGGTCTCGAAGTCGCTTGGTCTCGGTCGAAGTCGCTTGGTCTCGGTCTCTGAAGTCGCTCTCGGTCTCGTCTCGGTCTTGAAGTCGCTTGGTCTCGGGTCTCGAAGTCGCTCGGTCTCTCGTCGGTCTCGGTCTCGAAGTCGCTTGTCTCGGTCTCGTCTCGGTCTCGAAGTCGCTTGGTCTCGGTCTCTCTGAAGTCGCTTGGTCTCGGTCTCGAAGTCGCTTGGTCTCGGTCTCGAAAGTCGCTCGGTCTCGGTCTCGGTCTTCGAAGTCGCTTGGTCTCGGTCTCTCGTCTCGAAGTCGCTTGGTCTCGGTCTCGAAGTCGCTTGGTCTCGTCGTCTTCGAAGTCGCTTGGTCTCGGTCTTGAAGTCGCTTGGTCTCGGTCTTGAAGTCGCTTGGTCTCGGTCTTGAAGTCGCTTGTCTCGGTCTCGAAGTCGCTTGGTCTCGGTCTCGAAGTCGCTTGGTCTCGGTCTTGAAGTCGCTTGGTCTCGGTCTCGAAGTCGCTTGGTCTCGGTCTCGTCTCGGTCTTGAAGTCGCTTGGTCTCGGTCTCGTCTCGTCTCTCTTCGAAGTCGCTTGGTCTCGGTCTCGGTCTTGAAGTCGCTTGGTCTCGGTCTCGTCTCGGTCTTGAAGTCGCTTGGTCTCGGTCTCGTCTCAGTCTTGAAGTTGCTTGGTCTCGGTCTCGAAGTCGCTTGGTCTTGGTCTCGGTCTTGAAGTCGCTTGGTCTCGGTCTCGTCTCGGTCTTGAAGTCGCTTGGACTCGGTCTCAAAGTCGCTTGTTCTCGGTCTCGTCTCGGTCTCGAAGTCGCTTGGTCTCGGTCTCGTCTCGGTCTCGAAGTCACTTGGTCTCGGTCTCGTCTTGGTCTTGAAGTCACTTGGTCTCTGTCTCGTGTCGGTCTCGTCTCGGTCTTGAAGTCGTTTGGTCTCGGTCTCGTCTCGGTCTTGAAGTCACTTGGTCTCGGTCTCGAAGTCGCTCGGTCTCGGTCTCGAAGTCGCTCGGTCTCGGTCTCGTCTCGGTCTTGAAGTCGCTTGGCCTCGGTCTCGTCTCGGTCTCGAAGTCGCTTGGTCTCGGTCTCGTGTCGGTCTCATCTCGGTCTTGAAGTGGCTTGGTCTCGGTCTCGTCTCGGTCTTGAAGTCGCTTGGTCTCATCTCGTCTCGGTCTTGTTTTGGTCTCGAAGGCGCTCGTCCTCGGTCTCGTAGGTGTAAGTCTGAGTGTGTGTGGATGTGACATGTGGGTGATGTTGGAGTCTGAAGTCTTGGGTTTGTCTATAATAAAACAATCATGATTCTGCTCTGAATGTGTGAGGATCAACTCTGCACCACCGTAAACTGTTAAAACGCCTGTATGTTTGTGTGATTACGTCTCATGTTCATCTGAAGTCTGAATCTTTGTCTGACCTTATGCCCACGTCCTGCCCCGTCCTCACGACCCACTCCAGAGAAACCAGGAGGAAACTGCGGAACTTCTCATTCTGCGTCTGGAGAAACGACAGGTCAGATTAAACGCGTCTGTTCCGCTTCCACGAAACAGCCTCGAGTCTCCAGCCGAAGTCCAGACATTATGATTTTAACACATGGACGTGGACAAATAAAAGAGTTACCTGTAAATATTCTTCGACCTCTTCTATGGGCACGCTCCTGCTTCGATTCTGCTGGTTTCCACAGTCGTAGTCTCCTGGAAATTCAAAAAGGAGAAACACGAGCGACGATTTTAAAAAGAGAAGAAAAGAACTACAGCAGATCGAAACTTTTAAAAAAAACAGATATAAACATGAAGTAAACCAGTGATGTAAACAGAGACTAAAGAAAAAAAAAAGAATAAGTATCAGAACAATTTTCCTTTAAAAGCTGCATCGTGTAGTCATTGCTTTGTCTGAAATGTTTCACAGTGTGGCATTAAACCTTTCTTCACAGTCAGAATACCTGTTTTTCTAGGTATTTTTGAGCTATAAAACCACCTGTAATTGAATAAATGTAAAGTAGAGCTGTTTAATGCCACACTGGCCACGTTTAAAGGATGTTTTTTAATAGTTCTGAATTAAATTGTTCTAAATTAAAATATTGTCCTTGGAGTTTACGTGGAAATAATAATTCCGAAGGAGAGGAGAAGGGAAGAAGACGACAAACTGAGTCCACTCCCACATCCCGCTCACAAATCCAAAAAGACGTGGATCAAAGTCCCGAGTCGGGACTGGTGGAGCTGGATCGAAGGGCGTCACAACGAGTATGCGCCGAAACACCAGCATTATTTTAACAAGAAACAAGATCCAGGAAGAAATTAACTCAGCTTTAAAACCAGAATAAACCAAACACTTATTTATTATAAGTGGGTCATTTCATTAGGAATTAAGTGTTGACATGGACTTTTAAAAGCGGAATAACATTATTTTTATTCGGAATTAACGCTGTCATGTAAACGTGGCAACTAGGGGTGTGCAAAAAATATTGAAATATCGATATATCATATTGTTTAATGTGATGATTCAGTATCGATATTGTGGGCTGCTGTATCGATATATCACCAAGTTAATTTTTCGGTTTATTTTACTCAATTATTTAGTTCCAGCTACAGTTTGTTGTTTGTTCAGAGGAAGGAACGAGTTTATGCGACACATTTGACATTTTCACTGATTGGAGGATTAAAATTTTGTTTGTGTTTCATATGAACTTTTCACAGCCATGATTTTTTTATTGAACCGTATCGCAGCGTCTGCAGTGATGCAGTCGCTGTATCGGACCGTTGTGGTGAAGAGGAGCTGAGTCGAAAGGCGAAGCTCTCGATTTACCGTCAGTCTTCGTTCCTACTCTCACCTCTGGTCATGAGCTCTGGGTAATGACTGAAAGGACGAGATCGCAGATACAAGCGCTCGAAATGAGTTTCCTCCGCAGGGTGGCTGGGCGTCTCCCTTAGAGACAGAGTGAGGAGAGTGAGGAGCTCGGAGTAGAGCCGCTGCTCCTCCACGTGGAGGAGCGTCTGAGGGGAGGACGTCTGTTCTGATGTCTCCTGGACGTGTCCCTCAGGAGGTGTTCATGTCCCACCGGGAGGAGGCCCCGGGGAAGACCCAGGACACACTGGAGGGACGATGTCTCTGGACTGGACTGGGAACACCTCAGGTCCCACTGGAGGAGCTGGAGGAAGTGTCTGGGGTGAAGGAAGTGTGGGAGACCCTGTTTAGACTGATGCCCCCGCGACCCGACCCCGGATAAGCGGAAGAAAATGGATGGATGGAATGGGTATCGAATTGATTTTAAATATATCTTATCAAACCGAAAGTGCACAGTATCAAGTTATGCATCGTCGTAAGGATTGTATCGGCAACTTTTTAATGATACCAGGCCCAGTGGCGACTGTGGAACATTCCAGACTGAGCAGTGACGTATCCATAAAAACAAGCAGGCGATGGACCCTCCACCAGAAAAAGTGACGCAATGCACCTTTAAATAAACAAACATCAACATTTGAATCATTTCTCAGCAGCGGCCTCCTCGTAAACCCGCTGTACCGAAAACGATCAGAACCGATGATCAGAGTGTTCAAACACAAACATCACTCTGATCGGCCGAAGTGTCACAACAGAGGAACAAAATCAAACGCTGTCAGTTTTGGACCAATCACGTGCGAGCGCTTCAGCCAAATCCAAAAAAAGACGGATTCTTGAGAGTTTAAACTCGCAAAAAATTCACCAAACGTGCGATGGTTTACAGACACTTTAACAAACCTGCGACTACGGCCAAGTATTCATGAAGTTTCACGAACAGATTCAAAACGAGGGCTTTCTCCGTCTCATTCTGCAAAAAGAAAAACACACATTTCTTTATTAATTATTCGAGACAAAAAGATTTTTAAAAAGAAAACTCCTACTCACATAAGCCTCGTCAAACTCCGAGCCAAAGGGATGTCTCCAAACTGTGAGAAAAACAAGAGGAAATAAACAAACTGAATCACAAGCGTCTCAAAGTAAATGTACAGATTTATAAAAATAATCATGTAATAAAGTAAAATCTGTTTTGTCCCGTTACAGACATATTTAAAAGCAGAACATGGGGTCAAAATGAGACGGCCATGTGATAAAATACAGCCTTTTTAGAGTCCGAAAACATTGATGATGAAATTAATACTAATAAATTTGACATATTCTTAAAAAACACCAAGTGCTGCCTCATTTTGACCAAAAGAAAATGACGACGAGAAACTGTGGAGCATAAATATTTGATCTGAAGTCGACTCAAGAAATTCGTGGACTAAAGTCGTGTGCTGTCGATCGATTAGTCGACGAAAAAGAGGCGTTTTTCGAAGCTGATACCGATACTGACCGTTTAGAATCAGATGGATGTTTGTGGGACGATTATTTTCCCTAAATTTTGTCGTTTCAATTCACTCCAAACTCGCCTGTGGACTTTTTCATCGATCAAAATAAAACAACGGTCTGTGCTGGAGATTTAAGTCTGAACGCAGATGCTCTAAAAAAGTCCAAATATCGGCCAGTCGATATATCGGTCTCTGTCTGCACTGAAATGGAGCAAAGGATCATGGTCTATGTAGTTCCCTCTAAGTTTTTTTTTAGCTGTTGCTGCTCCATAACTTTTCATTTAAACAAAGAAACTTGTGATTCGATTGATAGAGGCGTCACGTGTCCCCATGGCAACGGTACCTACGCCGCCATGACACCGGGCACAATATGTCACTGACTTCAGCAGCGTCGCAGAAACATGGGCAGGTTTTGTTGTGTATTTGGTTGTTCTAGACGCTCTGAAAGGAATAAAATGAATCGTTTCTTCACTGTTCCTCTGGAAATGACTCATCAGGATCAAACAAGGGAATTATTGAAAAAAAAAAAGACGCTGATTATGTCTAGAGAAAATAAACCACGAAGAGATTTCCTGTGACAAGACACACTCACGTCACTTTCATCAAGGTATTTGTTATTTAAATAGCTTTCATAGTTTATTTAATGAGAGAAGCACATTTACTGAACTAAAATGTAAAAAGAAAACATTTGCAGTGTGAGTGGCAGTAGAAACTGTATGTTCCAGCACATATAAACATGTCACTCGTCGTAGGACCATGTTTTTTTATTGTCTTGTTTATCCACAACTTTGTCTTCTAGAATTAATCTCTTTTTGTGAGTGGATCTTTCTAACGTTCGCGAGGATCTTTTCATGGTCGATTCTTTCGAGGTTCGGCTCACAGACTCTTCGACTCGTGCGTCGTGTTGATCACAGGAGCCAGTGTGGGTTCGTTGAATCGTAAACTAGTGCAGGTTTTCCTGGATAAAGTTAATGAAATTTTAGTTCAGTAAATGTGCTTCTTTCATTAAATAAACTATGAAACAGTTTAAATAGCAAATACTTTGATGAAACTTCGAGTGTCTTGATGGGACCATTGGAAATCTCTTCGTGGTTTATGTTCTCTAGACATAATCCGCGCCTTTTTTCGATAATTCCCTTGTTTGATCCTGATGAGGGGAAAACAGGTCTGAAACAGGCCCGAGACCAGACCGGGAACAGGACCAGGGAACAGGACCGGGACTGAGACCGGGGAACAGGACCGGGACCGAGACCAAGGAACAGGACCGGGACTGAGACCGGGAACAGAGTCCGGGGAACAGAGACCGGGGAACAGGGAACAGAGTCCGGGGAACAGAGACCGGGGAACAGAGACCGGGGAACAGAGACCGGGAACAGGACCGGGAACAGAGACCGGGGAACAGAGACCGGGGAACAGAGTCCCGGGAACAGAGACCGGGGAACAGAGACCGGGGAACAGGACCAGGGACTCAGTCAGACCAGGACTGAAGAGAGACTGAAACGAATTTAGTCCTGGTTCAGTCCTGGTTCAGTCCTGGTTCAGTCCTGGTTCAGTCCTGGTTCAGTCCTGGTTCAGTCCGTTATATGTTTTTTCCAATTTCATTAAACACAAAATCAAAAACTGAAAAAAAACGAACCAATATCCGTTTTTTCATTTTGGTTCTGGAGACAAATAATGAAGTTTTCTTATTTTTAGTTTTATACCGAAAACAAACAAATTAATGAACGACACAGGGACTAATGACACGTCCATGAAAACAAGAAGGTGACGGACAAACCCCCAACCAAAAAGTCCCACAAAACCGTCCCAAAAAACCGCCCCATAAACCCCGGCTTTGTCCCGCGCACTGACCGGCGACGTCCTCCGAGGCGCCCCTCATGCGCAGGTACATGAAGCCGAGCGTGAGGAAGAAGAGGCAGGCGGCGGTGAGCAGACACATGGACAGGTAGTGAGCGCTGAACCTGGCAGAGGAGGCCGTCTCTCCCTCGCGCTTGAACTGCTGCAGGAGCTCGTCGTCCGGGCCCGGTCTCCTCGGGGTCGGGCCTCGGCTGTGGTTCGAGTACGTCCCCCTGTAAATCTGGACCGGGCAGAGGAACCAACGTGAGTTTCAACTTTTAAGAGATTAAGAGCAGATAAAAAGCACCTGTGACCTTCTGTGGATCGATCTGTTCTAACTGTGACATTTTAAATCACAATATTGATCTAAAACCACTTCATATCTCCAAATAAAAAATAAAATAACTCTGGAAAGAAGCACAGCGGTGGTGAAAGTGAGAGCTGATCAGAAACACCGTGCGTTGGAAATAAGTGAAGCATGAATCACTCCAAACAGAACTCAGGGTAAAGTAAAATAATCTAGAACTGAAATAAGAGCAAGAGCACACAGACCAGACACGCCCATGGACCTGGTTTAGACCTGGTTTAGACCTGGTTTAGACCTGACCTGACTTAAACCTAATTTAAACCTAATTTTAACCTAACTATGACTTGATTTAGTTGCTGGTTTACGTCTAGTTTAGACCTGATTTAGTTTAGTCCTGGTTTAAATGTGTTTCAGTCCTGGTTTAGACCTAATTTGGCCCTGGTTTAGTTTAGTCCTAGTTTAGACCTAAGTTAAACCTGGGTTAGACCTGACCGAGGCCCATGGACCTGGTTTAGATCTGGCTCAGACCTGGTTTGGTTTAGTTTAGTCCTGGTTTAGACCTAATTTAGACCTGGTATAAACCTGGTTTGGGTTAGTCCTGGTTTAAACCTGGTTTAGACCTAGTTTAGTCCTGGTTTAGACCTAGTTTAGTCCTGGTTTAGACCTAGTTTAGTCCCAGTTTAGTCCTAATTTGGACCTGGTTTGGTTTAGTCCTGGTTTAGTCCTGGTTAGACCCGGTTTAGACCTGGATTAGTTTAGTTTTAGCTTAGACCTGCTTTAGACTTAATTTGGACCTGGTTTAGTTTAGTCCTGGTTTATACGTAATTTAGACCCAAGTTAGACCTGGTTTAGACGGAATTCACACCTAATTTACTCCTGGTTTTGTTTGGACCTGGTTTGGACCTGGTTTGGACCTGGTTTAGTCCTGGTTTGGACCTGGTTTAGTCCTGGTTTAGTCCTGGTTTAGTCCTGGTTTGGACCTGGTTTGGACCTGGTTTCATCTTGGTTTGGACCTAGTTTGGACCTGGTTTGGACCTCAGAACAGTCAGCAGTAACAGTTTAGACTTCTAGACACAGAAATAGTTCCTTTTGAGCAGCTCATTCATTACAGACTCACTGTTTCAGTCCAAAAGAGGGATAAACCCAGACTAAACCCAGACTAAACCCAGACTAAACCCAGACTAAACCAGGTCAACTGTGAGTCAACGGGGACTTAAATGTGGGCTAGCCCGGTCTAGAGTCCAGACCACAGCTAAACCAAGTCTGAGCAGGGACCAAAGGAAGGACCACACAGCACCTACCCTCCCGAGTCTACCCACCTGTGGAGACACGCTGCTGTAGGCCGAGAACCGAGACCTGAGCCCGGAGTTAGTGTAGGAATAAACCCCGCCGTCCTTCGCCTCTCTCCCGGAGACGTGGTTGTTCGTGTCCGCCTCGCCCCCGTGGTTTTCGGAGTAGTTTCTCGTGAAGTTGTGGCCCGGTTTGTTGGCGCCTATCGGGTCCCGTCTTTTAGGCCCAAGTTCGAGCTCGTCCCTCCGCGGGGAAACCATGTCCGTGCCGCCGGGGCCGAGCTCTTTGTACGCGTACGGGCCTCGGTGGAGCGCTCTGCGGGGCTGCTCCTTCGGGAGGCCCGGTTTGCCGTTACCCCCAACCCCCTCTTCCTCGTCGGAGTCGGAGTAGTCCCCGGTCGGTCTGGTTTTGAGAGCGCCCAAATGCGAGGTCCTGCTCCCGTTTAAAGAGCGGGATTTGAGCTCCCCCTGGCCCGCGTCGCAGTCCTCCTCTTCCCCGGACTCGTCGTTCACTCCGTCCGCCTCGGCAGCGCTGCTTTTGGCGCGGCTCCCCCAGTTCAGAGACACGCTCCGCGGGCTGGGAAAAGTGGGATTACCGCCGCCGCTTTTCCGCACGTTTCCAGTGTCGCTTAAACTAGTGTTAGAACTTATCTGCGGGCTGAGTCTGGCGTTAGGAGACGGGGATAAACCTGGAGCTTTATTCGCCTTCGCGCCGTGATTTAGGCCTTTCCTTTTCTGCGGAGCTTCGGCGTCCGATTCGTCCGAGCTGAAGCCGAGCACAGCGGACTTCCGGCCGGGTCTGGCTGGCCGAGAGCCCGCTGGCCTGCTGCTGGCGCCGCTCGGGCTGCTACTGTTGTTGTTTAGAGCCGCGCTCCGGGTCTTGCTCTGCGCCTTACTCTGCCGCGAACCGCCCCGCTGCTGCTCCAGGTTTTCCTCCCGGAGCTTCTTGAGTTTCTTCAGGTAGACGGGCCGCGTGTTCTCGGTGACCGGGCCCGGGATGAAGCCGAGGCGCTTCAGCTCAGAGAAAAGCTCCTCGTCCGTTAACTGCGCGGACGCCATTTTGGATCAAACTCTGGGAGAAGGCCGCGAGCAGGAAGTGACGTAGTGACAAAAAAAAAAAAAAAAAAAAAAAGCGCGACGCAGGTGAAGTTTTGCCAAAAATAAATAAATAAAATAAAATAAAATAAAACTTTTGCTCAGTGACAAAAATCGTGATCGATGACAACGGATATTTTTATTTATAAAAGTGAAAAATAAAAATCTTTACTGTCGCGTCCAGACCTGAAGTTCCCGCTCTGACCGGCCCGTTTCAGCTCATTTGGAATTACAAAATAAAAATATTTTGATTTTATTTTAGAGATGTTTTCAACGACATTTTTGTAAGGCAACCTCACTTTTTCATTGCTTAGTCATATGTGAGAGACGTGATAAATGAATTTACAGTTATACATGATTGTTGTGAATTAATGTAAACAGTGTTGTTTTGAGGTTCACTGACGCCCCCTGTTGTTTTTATGCCGTCACTGTTTTAATTTCTGAAAATTTTTACAGGGTCATAAATATCCCTTGTGGAAAAGATAACCTAAATCGTTTCAGTGCCTAAAGATCTGCAACACATAAAAACTTACCAGTCTGACCAGCTTGTTTACTGCTTTATATATTATATATATAAAAATACATATACGTACGTACGTGTGTTTCTCACCTTCCACGGTGGTTGGTCTCACACCCTCATCCAGCTCAGGTCGTCTACCAGAGGCCTGGGAGCTTGAGAGTTCTGCACAGTATCTCTGCTGTTCCTAGTACTGCACTTTTTTCTTACATCTCAGTACAGAAGTTTAAAAAAAAAATATATATATATATATATATATATACACAGTCACAATATCTGTTTTTCTAGGGAGTTTTGTGAAATAAAACCACCTGAAATTGAATAAATGTAAGTAGAGCTGTTTAAAGTCCTGGTCCAGTCCTGGTCCAGTCCTGGTCCAGTCCTGGTCCAGTCCTGCCTGAGAGGATCATTTTGTTCCAGATAAAATCAGACATTTTTATTTTTTCATATTTTAATCACATCTTAAAAAGTACAAAAATAAACATCACATTTCTAATTATTCACACATATTTACACAATGAAAACACTGTACATGACAAGAGCATCTCTACAGCAACGCTTTAGTCCTGGGATAGTCCTGGGATAGTCCTGGTTTAGTCCTGGTATAGTCCTGGTTTAGACCGGGTTTAGTCCTGGTTTTGCTCCTGAGTTTCTCCTCTTTATAGAACTTGGCTTCTTTCATTTTTTCAGAAATTTTAGTCCAGACTGAGAAGCAGCGCTAGATCCAGACTGAGTCCTGGTGGAGTCCTGGTCCAGTCCTAGTCCAGTCCTGGTCCAGTCCTGGTCCAGTCCTGGTCCAGTCCTGGTCCAGTCCTGGTCCAGTCCTGGTCCAGTCCTAGTCCAGTCCTAGTCCAGTCCTGGTTTAGACTGGATTTAGTCCTGGTTTTGTTCCTGAGTTTCTTCTTCTTATGGAACTTTGCTTTGGTGAATTTTTTGAGAATCAGCGTGAGATCCAGACTGAGTCCTGGTCCAGTCCCGGTCCGGTCCCGGTTCAGAGCCGTATTCCTTTGACCAGCGAGGCCTCGAGCGTCAGGGGGAAGTGGTGCAGAGTGAGCAGGACCTGACTCAGACTCTCGACGGCGGCAGAGTCTCGGAGCAGAGCCCAGTCCTCGTAGTACTGAGCCGTAACGGGACACGAGGACAACAGGGGGAGCCACTGAGCCAGAACACGGTCCCTGACGAGCCAGAGAGAGAGAGAGAGAAGGAGGGAGGGAGAGGAGAGAGAAGGAGGGAGGAGGGAGGGAAGGATTAAATAGGATTTAGGATCATTAGGATTTTGATTAACTCTGTTTTAATGGTGGACTCATTTAAGCGCAGTGTGTGTGAACGGCCACTAGAGGGCGACTGCAGCTGTGGTCTGTATTTCATATGTTCAAACACTGCAGGGTTAAAATTTCAGGGGAAAATATTTCAGAGTTGTTTTTAACACAACAACAAGAGTTATTTTAACAATTTGAAAGTTAAACGAGGGGTTGGAGTTGGGGTTATTTGCTTTGAGTTGATATGACTGAAGCTAATTCAGCTTCCTCTAGTGCAGTGCTTCTCAAATAGTGGGGCGCGCCCCAGGCTCCGTCAAGGGGGGCGCGTTTGACCTCGGCGAACATGCTTTTTTATTTTTTTATTTAGATTTTTTTTACTGTCTTAAGGGCCGTTCACACCAAAGCGTCAAAAAACGCCTTGACGTCTCTATTTGGAGCCTTTGCATTTGAGTTCAGACGCCCCCGACGTTCGTCTTTGACGCCGTGGACGAACGGGACAAAAATACTTGACGCGCGTCCGTTGCCCTGGAAACAAGAGCCCGGTCCCGGTCTTTTCCCGAAACAATGTCAGACCAGACTGAGAGTGTTTTTATGACATAAAACATCAGCGGAGGAGATCGGGTCGACGACTGAGGCGTATATATATTTATACTCCACTAATGACACTGGATCAGTCCCGGTCTAGTCCTGGTCTAATACCGGTCTGGTCCTGGTCTAATCACGGTCTAGTCCCGGTCTAGTCCTGGTCTAATCATGGTCTAGTCCTGGTCTAATCACGGTCTAGTCCCGGTCTGGTCCCGGTCTAGTCCCGGTCTAGTCCTGGTCTAATCACGGTCTAGTCTCGGTCTAGTCCTTGTTTAGTCTCGGTCTAGTCTCGGTCTAGTCCCGGTCTAGTCCCGGTCTAGTCCTGGTCTAATCACGGTCTAGTCCCGGTCTAGTCCTTGTTTAGTCTCGGTCTAGTCTCGGTCTAGTCTCGGTCTAGTCCCGGTCTAGTCCTGGTTTGGTCCTGGTCCGGTCCTGGTGTAGTCCTCGTGATCGGCTCGGTGATTGTGGCGTATATATTTATTCTCCGCTCATGTTTGTGGTTCTCGTTCTGGTTCTCGGGTTTTTCTTCCTGATAATAACGTCGCTGCGTCTCTGGATACTCGTCCCTGATTGGTTGACGCGGCGCGTCTGACGCGAAAAGTTCAGCATTTTCAACTTCTTGACGCTGACGCCTTGGACGCGCGTCTTGGCCGCTGACGCCAAAACGCTGAAGACGCGCCGCGCTGACGCCAGATTCGCGCCGCGCTGACGCCGAAAACGCGCCGCAAAAACGCAGGACGCGCGTCCACATAGACTTTACATAGAAAGTGGACGCTTTGACGCTTTGGTCTGAACGGGCCTTTAGAATAAAGTGCAATTGCACTTCCACTACATTAGGGGGCAGAGCGCTCTCATTGGCAGAGTGTGCGCAGGGAGCATTCGCTCGGTGGTGTAGGAGTTTTGTTTGCACTGAGCATGCGCGCTTTGCACACAGCACAGAGTTTGAGTATGAAGTGTAGACACGAAGTGTAGCAGACCCTCAAGTGACACCATGAAAACATATTTAACAGGGATGAGAAGACAGACGGAGAGAGACGGAGATAAAGAGACAAACGAAAATCTCCGAAAGCTAAGACGAGGAAATATGACGAAGCGTATGTAGCGCTTGGCTTCACTGTGACTACGGTGGGAGACGAGGAAAGACCGGTGTGTTACTGCGTCTAAAAATGTTGGCAGCCGACAGCATGAAGCCCAATAAATTAAGGCGTCACTTAAATACATTACACTCCAATCACTCTGATAAGCCGCTTGAGTTTTTTCAGCGAAAACGTGCCGAATATTGCCGACAATCATCCCGCTTTGTGACTGCTACTTCAGTAAACCAGCGAGCGTTGTTGGCGTCATATAAGGTGGCAGTGTTACGCAGAGGTGCACTTATAACAATTTTATAGACAAATGATACTATCTATAGTCACGCGGGGGGGCGCGAGATGTTTTATTCGTCCTAGGGGGGGCATGACAGAAAATAATTGAGAAGCACTGCTCTAGTGTTAATCCAAATTTAGTGTTAATCTAAATTTATCTAGTAATTCAAGTTTTTCTAGTGTTAATTCAACTTCCCTTAGTGCAGTGCTTCTCAATGTGTCTGTGTGTGTTGTGTGTGTGTGTCTGTGTGTATGTGTCTGTGTGTGTCTGTGTGTGTGTGTGTGTGTGTGTGTATGTGTCTGTGTGTCTGTGTGCGTGTGTGTATGTGTGTGTGTATGTGTGTGTGTGTGTGTTTGTGTGTTTGTGTGTGTGTGTGTGTGTGTGTGTATGTGTCTGTGTCTGTGTGTGTGTGTGTGTGTGTGTGTGTCTGTCTGTGTGTGTTTGTGTATGTGTGTGTGTGTGTCTGTGTGTGTTTGTGTGTGTATGTGTCTGTGTGTGTGTCTGTGTCTGTGTCTGTGTCTGTGTGTGTGTGTGACTGGTCAGTTCCTCGTTGTCCCGTTCACACTGACCTGGTTCCCAAACACACGAGCAGCTGGAACTTCCCGTCCTTCCCGATGCTCCGAGATGACGAGTTTATGGCCTGAACGTATCGGGCGAAAGAACGATCCTGGTCCCCGTGGTCCCCGTGGTCCCCGAGGTCCCTGAGGTCCTCCGCCCGCTGCGCAGACGCCAGGTGGGCACAGGCTTTCTCTGACGGGCACAGACCAGAGGTAAAGTTTTAATTCAATTCATTTCATTGAACAGATTTAATGAAATGGTGGGAGCGGGTGTTGGCGGGTCAGGGGGAGCGGGTGTTGGCGGGTCGTGTGGAGCGGGTGTTGGCGGGTCAGGGGGAGCGGGTGCGGGTCAGGGGGAGCGGGTGTGGCGGGTCAGGGGAGCGGGTTGTTGGCGGGTCGTGTGGAGCGGGTGTTGGCGGGTCAGGGGGCGGTGGGCGTGTGGCGGGTCAGGGGGAGCGGGTGTTGGCGGGTCAGGGGGAGCGGGTGTTGGCGGGTCAGGGGGAGCGGGTGTGGCGGGTCGGGTGTGGGAGCGGGTGTTGGCGGTCAGGGGGGGGTGCGGGTGTTGGCGGGTCAGGGGGAGCGGGTGTTGGCGGGTCAGGGGGCGGGTGCGGGTCGTGTGAGGGGGCGGGTGGGAGCGGTTGGCGGGTCGGCGGGTCAGGGGAGCGGGTGTTGGCGGGTCGGGGGAGCGGGTGTTGGCGGGTCAGGGGGAGCGGGTGTTGGCGGGTCAGGGGGAGCGGGTGTTGGCGGGTCAGGGGGAGCGGGTGTTGGCGGGTCGTGGGGAGCGGGTGGCGGAGGGGACGGTGCGGGAGGGGCGGGTGTTGGCGGGTCAGGGGGAGCGGGTCGGTCGTGGAGCGGGTGTTGCGGGTGTCAGGGTGTTGGCGGGTCGTGGGAGCGGGTGTTGGCGGGGCCAGGGGGAGCGGGTGTTGGCGGTCGTGTGGAGCGGGTATTGGCGGGCCAGGGGGAGCGGGTGTTGGCGGGTCGTGGGAGCGGGTGTTGGCTCAGGGGAGCGGGTGTGGGGTGTGGAGCGGGTGTTGGCGGTCGGGGGAGCGGGTGTTTGCGGGTCAGGGGGAGCGGGTGCGGGTCAGGGGAGCGGGTGTTGGCGGGTCAGGGGGAGCGGGTGTTGGCGGGTCAGGGGGCGGGTGTGGGGTCAGGGGCGGGTGGGCGGGTCAGGGGGAGGGGAGCGGGTGTTGGCGGTCGGCGGGTGTTGGCGGGTGGGGAGCGGGTGGCGGGTCAGGGGGGCAGCGGGTGGGTCAGGGGAGCGGGTGTTGGTCAGGGGGAGCGGGTGTTGGCGGGTCGTGTGGAGCGGGTGTTGGCGGGTCACTGGGTGCGGGTCAGGGGAGCGGGTGGGGAGCGGTGTTGGCGGGAGCGGGTGTTGGCGGGTCAGGGGTGCAGGTCAGGGGGAGCGAGGGGAGCGGGTGCGGTCAGGGGGAGCGGGTGCCGGCGGGTCGGGGGGAGCGGGTGTCGGCGGGTCAGTGCCGGCAGGTTCACTCACCCACAAAGTCCCAGACGAAGATGTTTTTCTGGAAGAGTCGGGAGGATTTGAAGCCGTGAGCGAAGAGCTGCTCCAGAGCCGTGACCAGACTGTTGTCTCCACACAACAGCACCGTCAGACTGCCCCTCTAGAGGGCGACGCACACACAAACACACAACACACAAACACACACACAAACACACAAACACACAACACACAACACAACAAACAAACACAACACACAAACACACAAACAAACACAAAACAACACACAAAACACAACACACAACACACAAACAACAACACACACAACACACAACAACACACAAACAACACACAAACAACACACAACAACACACACAACACAAACACACACAAACACAACACACACAAACAACACAAACACAACAACACACACACACAAACAAACAACACACAACACACAAACAACACACAACAAACACACAAACACACAAACAAACACACACAAACAACACAAACACACAAACAAACACACAGTACACAAACACACAAACAACACAAACAACACAAAACAACACACAAAACAACACAAACACAAACAAACACACAGTACACAAACAAACACAACACACAAACACACAAAACACACAAACAAACACACAGTACACAAACACACAAACAACACACAAACAAACAACACACAACAACACAAACACACAAAACAAAAACAACACACACACAACACAACACAAACAAACAACACACAAACACAAACACACACACAACACACAAACAAACAACACACAAACAAACAGTTTTAGAGTGTGTATTTTACTTCTGCAGAGGATTAACAGCAAACACATCACATATTTAAATCACTGTTACGTTTTATAGTTTAAAAATTCTATATATTCGCCCAAAATGACTCACTCCCCCTTCAGAGCATCACAACACTTCTGGTTAGGGTTGTCCTGATCCGATTACGTGACTGTGGACTCGATCTGGACTCGACGTTATGTTCTGATCAGGTACAGAATAAATAATATACATATTAATTTGACACAAACCTCTTTCTCGGGTTTGTGGAAGTGCTTGATCATGTTGTTGACGACTTCTCCGACCGCGTCCTGGATCTGCCCCGACGTCGGCTCTGAAAACACCCAAGCACATCCAGTGTTATCTGTCTAAAATGTACCCAAGTGTGGCATTAAAATACATGTATCCATGGAGACAAGCGGGTGACACCACTAGGCCAAGTTACAGTTCAGATCTGTGGAGAGGAGAGCCCATTAACAGGAAGAATCAGAGGTTTTTCCACACACATTTGTGTTTAAACCAGGACTAAACCAGGACTAAACCAGGTCTAAACCAGGACTAAACCAGATCTAAACCAGGGACTAAACCAGGTCTAAACCAGGACTAAACCAGGACTAAACCAAGGACTAAACCAAGGACTAAACCAGGTCTAAACCAGGACTAAACCAGGACTAAACCAGGTCTAAACCAGGACTAAACCAGTCGCCGTGAGGAGGTTGTGGGTTAGATTCCCGGGTTTCTTACTGATTCCTTTGGCGGTGATGCTGCTGAGGCTGATGCGTCGCGTCTGGGACGGCGAGCTCTGCTGGGGGGGGGTGGCACTCCCTCGTCCGGCCTCCTCCTCAGCGCCTCCACCAGGGGGCAGCAGCTCCCCGATCAGCACGCGCTCCAGACTCCCATCGTCCACGCCTTTCCCCAGCCACCGGCCACACGGGAATCTGACACACACACACAAACACACACAAACACACACAAACACACACAACACACAACACACACACACACAACACACACACACACAACACACAAACACACACACACACACAGCAGGGGTTATCATGGAGGAGATACAGCAAAGAACTTAACTTAGACTCAATTTCCTGTGGGCGAATTTGATTTATTTTGTCTTCAAACTGAACTGAAAATCAAAACTAAACCAGAGTCTAAGCCACAACTAAACCAGAACTAAACCAGTCATAGAACATAAGTTCTAAATATTTGTCCGAATGAACCCAATGGGTTCAGACGAGTCCGGTCGGGTTCTGGTTGAGTTTCGATGCTCTAGTCCAGGCGTCCATGATCTGTTGGCAGATCGTGGCGTAACTCGCCCGGTGAACTAAAACATTCTGACAGATTTTTGAGCGCCGTGTACTAGTGAAGGGCACTTTGTGAAGGGCACACACCTGACCTGCAGTGTGACTAGTGTGGTCCTGACCTGCAATGTGACTAGTGTGGTCCTGACCTGCAGTGTGACTAGTGTGGTCCTGACCTGCAGTGTGACTAGTGTGGTCCTGACCTGCAGTGTGACTAGTGTGGTCCTGACCTGCAGTGTGACTAGTGTGGTCCTGACCTGCAGTGTGACTAGTGTGACTAGTGTGGTCTTGACCTGCAGTGTGACTAGTGTGGTCCTGACCTGCAGTGTGACTAGTGTGGTCCTGACCTGCAGTGTGACTTGTGTGGTTCTGACCTGCAGTGTGACTAGTGTGGTCCTGACGTGTAGGTGTGACTAGTGTGGTCTTGACCTGCAGTGTGACTAGTGTGGTCCTGACCTGCAGTGTGACTAGTGTGGTCCTGACCTGCAGTGTGACTAGTGTGGTCTGACCTGCAGTGTGACTAGTGTGGTCCTGACCTGTAGTGTGACTCGTAGTGTGGCCCTGACCTGTGGTGTGACTCGTAGTGTGGCCCTGACCTGTAGGTGTGACTAGTGTGACTCCTGACCTGTAGGTGTGACTAGTGTGGTCCTGACCTGTAGGTGTGACTAGTGTGGTCCTGACCTGTAGGTGTGTCCCGTGACCTCGTTCCGGACCAGGACACAGTCCAGGAGCCACTTGGCGAGGAGCCCGGCGTTGTCGTGCCCGATCTGCAGCGTGGTCAGGCGGCCCAGGTTCTGACACTGACACAAAAACACAAGGAGTCAGAGAGCGACGACGCTAACGCCACGCACTGCTCTGTCTGTCTGACACTCTGAGACTCCAGAGACACGAGTCTAGACTGAAGTCTGACGGAAGAAAGAAGAGAGAGAAAAGATAGAAGAGGAGAAGAGGGATCATCAGGAGCAAACAGAACAGAAATCATAAGGAGAAAAGAAGGGGGAAAAGAGAGAAGAGAGAGTGAGGAAAGAAAGAGAAATAGAGAAGAGAGAGAGAGTGAAGAGACTGAAGAGAGTGAGGAGAAAAAGAGGAGAGAGTGACAAGAGAGAAAGAAAGAGAGAGAGAGACAGAGAGAGAGAGAGAGAGAGAGAGAAGAGAAGAGAAGAGAAAAGAGAAGAGAGGGATCATCAGGAGCAAAAAGGATGGAAATAATGAGGAGAAAAGAAGGGGGAAAAGAGAGAAGCAAGAGAGTGAGGAAAGAAAGAGAGATGAGAATGAGTGAGAGAAAGAGAAGAGTGAGAGTGAAAAGACTGAAGAGAGTGATGAGAAAAAGAGAAGAGAGTGACAAGAGAGAAAGAAGAGAGTGAGTACAGAGAGAGAGAGAGAGAGGCGTGAGAGAGAAAAAGAAGAGAATGAGGAGAGAAGGAGAAGAGATAGAGTCAGAGAAGAGAGTGAAGAGAGAGAGAGAGAGAGCGCAAGGAGAGAAATCAAGGAGTGAGGAGAGAAAGAAGAGACAATGACAAGAGAAGAGACTGAAAAAAGAGAGGAGAGGGAGAGCGAGATAAGAGTGAGGAGAGAAAGAGAAGAGAATGAGGAGAGAGAGAGAGAGAGAGAGAGAGAGAGAGTGAAGAGAAAAAGTAATGAGTAAGGAGAGAGAGAAAAAAAGAGAAAATGACCAGAGAAGAAAAGAAAGAGAGGAGTGAGTGAGTGAGAAAAGAGTGATGAGAGAAAGAGAGGGCAAAGAGAGGAATAGAGAAGAGAGAGAGTGAAGAGACTGAAGAGAGTGAGGAGAAAAAGAGGAGAGAGAGAGAGAGTGAGAAAGAGAAGAGAGTGAAAAAATAGGGAGACAGAGGAGAGAGAGAGAAGAGATTAAATAAGAAATAAAGCGAGATATGAGAGTGAGGTAAGAAAGAAGAGAGTGAGGAGAGAAACAGAGGACAGAGACGGAGAGTAGAGAGAGAAGAGCGCAAGGAGGAAAGAAGAGAAAGAGGAGAGCGAGAGAAATAGAGAGGAGAGAAAGAAAAAGAGAATGAAAAGGAGAGAGTTATGTTGTTATTAAATTAAAGGAGAGAGGGAGGAGAGAAGAGGAGAAAGAGAGAAAGGATGAGAGGATCAGTGGAGAGAGAGAGAAAGAGAGAGGGAGGGAGAAGAGGAGAGAGTGATTCTGACCTTGAAGACGGTGGAGATGTGAGAGTGAGGCCTGAACGCAGACTGAGACAAAACACAAATCAAAAGAAAATCAACTCAAGACGGATTCAAAAATGATTCAATAAAATGATTAAAACAAAAAAAACAACAACAAATGATTAAAGGAAAAGAAAAAGCGACAGAGTTCAAAACCTCCAGACAAACAAACGGAACAGGAAGAAAAGAAAGAAACAAACACAACGACAAGAACAGTTACAGCACAAAACATTTTAGATTTTCAGTTCCATAATCTAAACCTTTGGATTCAGATTTTATAAAATAACACAGACTTTATTTAAAATCGAAAATCAGAAAAAGAAATATTCAGAATGTCCGTGTATCATTCGTTCATTTGTTTTTCAATATAAAACCAAAAATAAGAAAACGATAAAAACAACAGTTTTCTTCATTATTTGTCTCCAAAACCAAAATGAAAAAAACAGATAATGATTCGTTTTTTTCAGTTTTCGATTTTGTGTTTAAATGAAGAATGGAAAAAACAGATAAAGGACTAAACCAGGACTGATCCAGGTCCGGGACCAGACCGAGAC